TGAGTAGCTAGACTATCTAGACTAGGCTGACGTGAGTAGCTAGACTATCTAGACTAGGCTGACCTGAGTAGCTAGACTATCTAGACTAGGCTGACCTGAGTAGTTAGAATATCTAGACTAAGCTGACCTGAGTAGCTAGAATATCTAGACTAGGCTGACCTGAGTAGCTAGACTATCTAGACTAGGCTGACCTGAGTAGCTAGACTATCTAGACTAGGCTGACCTGAGTAGCTAGAATATCTAGACTAAGCTGACCTGAGTATCGTGATGTCGTTAAATGAGATATATACAAGATCAGTGATCACTCACAATTCATTCCCACAGAACTGAAAGAAGGGTAAACGCTATGCACATGCTCAAACAAAGGGTTAAACAATTTGTCAGGACCCTAAATTTGTTGGTCCCCAGCAAGTGCACCTGTTTCGCGGGCTGTGGTACTGATGTGGTAAACAGTAACTAAAGATAAATAGACAATTTATAACGAATAAAGGCATATTATATGTATATGTTCTTAGACATAGAATAACATTACAGCGCCCAAAAGTGCAGCTGGTTCTCATTGATAAACTATAGCCCTCTAAGATACCAAGTTCCCGGCAACTGTCTTCATTGCAACCAATTTTACCAACAAGGTCACTGATCCGGGTGATATAATTGGAAAATAATAAGGAAAATGTAATGGACCGTCTCAAATTAACGGGAAAAATTTAGAACACATTATGATCGAGCATGCATTCATTTGAGAAAGGGAATTTGGAAGTTTGTTATGCCGATTTAAGCATGCAGGTGACATGAAACTCCAATGTAGCCACATCTGATCTGTAACTACAGTTTCCTGTTGCACAGATGAACCTCGAATCTAACAATATTTCATAACATCACTAATATTTCCAGGTGTGCTGTTCAGTGCAGATAAAACAGCGAGGAAATAAGGTTTACAAAGCGTTCGAGCTATCAGACTCAGCCGTGAGAGCAACCTTTAGCGTGAAGAAAGGGGCGGGGGTCAAACAAACTCAACATGTCAATCTAGAGAGTGGCAGTAAGTCGTGGTTGTGATTTCTCAGTTTATCATACACAGATAAATTTATGATATACATTGTATATCTACTCGGGAATATTATAGCGGGTTAATTTATGACTGGGAAAATTAATGACCGGGAAAAATATGGCGGACTTTCCCAAAACCCGCCAAATTATCCCAGTCATAATATTCCCGAGTAAGGTACTCAACGAGGGAAAGAATGCAACAACAGAACGTGCTTTGTTATCTCTAAATCACCAGTTTAATTTCAGGTTCTGTATTCCCGAAGCTAGAGGACGACTACATAGACAACATCTCGTTTGATAACCCTGGTAATATAAACGGTTTGTCTGATGGTTGGTACTTTGGCTCTGCTGACGGTCAGGACGTTCAGACCAACGTGGAGGTATTGTTTTAGTTGGAAAACAGTGAACCAGTAAATATTGGAGGGGGGAGGGGGGATTAATTCCGAGCCACCTCATGTTTGAAAAATCGCACCAAGTGCAGTTGAACGACGCGGACGAAATCCCTGATTCCCCGAAATCCCTGATTCCCTGATAAAGTTAATAATCTTCTCCTCTGACAAAGATTGTCACAGCAGACCCACCACTGAAAACACTCTGAAAACACTCTAAAAACACTCTAAAAACACTCTAAGTAAACACTCTACCCCAGGTAAACAGCCTAGCAGAGTGGGATGTTAATAAACTGGGATGGTTCAAACTAAAAGACGGCCGACCTGATTTTAACAAGGCTCTTGTTAAACAGGCCTTCAGAGGACAGGTATGTAAGAAGATATTTAGAACCAAGTTTAAGTATTATTGATTAATATCATTATTATTAACTAAAAAATATAATAGCATAATGATACATCTTAAGTTGAATGTTTAAATTCGATTGATAGAAATGAGACGTGTCCTGTCACCTTTGCGAAGGATAAATAAGTGTAACAACTCGTACCACTAATCTTTCTACCATCACTATTATCTAGGTTAAAGAGTGCAATAGTGACGATATTGAGGTAACATTTGCCTCTAAATTCATCAAAGAGAACAGCTTGGAGGAAGGACGATCAATTGCTGATTTTCACGGAGCTACAATTGAAGAGGCTGTAAGGGACAATATTCATCGAACAGTCACTCTGAAATACCACAGGTTCACTTATATTGACTTTATTGTGTTCTTTATTCCAGTATTAGTATGCGCCATGCGGTTACTTGAATTATCGAATAGATTATTTTTGGCTAAAATACTCAAAAAATAACTGAGATGGAAAATACCACTTATTTGTAACCATTATAATATCAGTTTTAGTCGCATCAGTGCGAGAATAGTGATGAGAGGAGAGAAGGAGGTGAAGCAGGAGTACACTAATCCTAAGTTCCAGGACTTCACTGCTTTCGCGTTCCTCGACAAACATTCTAACAGGTAAGCAGGTGATTGTAGTTGATAGAACATCGGGGGATAGTAAGGGGGGGGGGGGGGGGGGGGTGCAGCAAATATTTCAAGATATTTTTAGAAGACAATATTATACTAACTTTCTATTATTCTTATATCATTTCAAAACGTTGTCGCACTTAAACGTCCAGTTATAATGAGCAACTACAAAGAATTCCAAATATTACAGGTACATAAATGTAACAATAATGTCTGGGCAAGGGACACTACACGGCATCATGAAGGTCCCGGGGAAACACGACATTATTTTCGACGTGATCGTCTCTGAAGCTGCCCAACCATCTCAGGTATACGTAGCTGTTGAATGACCGAGTCAACCGAAAATTCCCCTTCCAGATATCGATGATAACAATCTTTTAAATCGATATTACACAGGAGTTTAACAGAGCACAAATTCTCAGAAGATTCAAGTAGCAGAATACCCCCGTAACACGACGAAAGTAGTGGAGATTATAGAGTGGTGTAATGAAGATCTGCAGGCGGAAGTGTGTTTACACACTAACGGACAGGATCTCAAGTGCAAGGATATTATCTGTCTTGAGCAGGTTAGTCGTATTTCGTCCATTTAGCTATTCATGAAAAAAGTGGAATAATTGGTCTATCGGAATGTAAAACACTTACAGTTTAATATTATTACATTGCTAACACCATCCTCTAAACACACACCTTCAGGAACAAGACCAGTTTAGAGTGCCAAACAACACAATACACTACGAAACCTCAGAAAAGAGCTCTATCTTCAGTGCAGACACATGGGCAAAGTACCTCAATCCAATGGAGTGGTTCCAGGGTATTGACAATTGGCAGGAGGGTATTGTCATGGCGGTCAGCATCGTGGGTATTTTGATCTGTATCGGGATAACTGCTAAGATATGTAAGATGTTTGGATGTTTGGTCACCTGTTGTAACTGTCTGGGAAGGTGTTGCTGCAGGAGGAAGAGAAAGGTGAAGGTGGTAAAGAATACCAAGGGTAATGGATTGGATAGGAGTCGACCAGATACCCTGACTATCCTGAAAAGTCCTCGGTCCCACCGCCGACATCAAGCTCCAAGAAGTTGTGATACTGTAGAATACGCCTCACTTAATACATCAAAATTTGATTCTCACGGCTCTTACCTCGCAAGCCCAGCGGCCCTAGCAAGAAAAGAAGCGGAAGTTAGAAACCAAGCAAAGCGAGTGTTCGAAGCACGGCGCAAGTACGAGCGGCTCAGGTCGGTAAGTGTAGGTGAGATAGGGTCTCAGAGTTGTCCTCTAGAGGATCAGCAGCAGAGTGCCTCGTTGTGTCTCCTTCCCACAGCTCCTCCACAAATCTGGGTTCTGTCTCCTAACACTTCCTCTGGGGCGATCTCATCGTTTTCTTCACAGGTTCGTAAAATAAATGATCTTACCTCGAAGAGGATTGCCTCGGGGAGTATTGCATCCTCGCAGAATGGAGTCAGGGCACAAAATGAAACCGAACAGATGAAAACAATCAAGGGTTTCTTAAATGAGCATGGAACCATGAACCTAGAATTCCAGGACAGAGGGGCTATGTTAGATCAACTGGACGATTCAACTCCAGACAGCAGCTTAGCATCATCTCTTACCAATAGTGCCGAACTGAAGCTGCCCCCCCAAGACGCTGAGGTAATGCCTTCCAAGAAACCGCTTCACTTGAGATTACCATCAGATATCATAGATTTTCCTTCCGGATTGCTACCCTTGCCAAATGGCCACCGTCGTACTTTATCATCCAGTCCAGGCTTTCACATTAGTAGCCAATCTAGAAACCCAACCTTGAGACGTGCAAGCGAAGTTGCAATATTTAGATTCGACAATCTTGCCTCACCTCGACCCTTTGTATTCAATGATAACTCTGACGCAGAGCTGGACAGTTTTAACCCTCTGAAGCCGTCCATAGAATATAACGGGGGGACACCTCCTAATTCACCGCTTATTGTCAGCCAGGTTGCTGAGCAATTCATATAAATTATAGAGGCAGGGTGGAAGAATAAGCTATGAACCGAATAAGACAATACAGCAAGGAATAAGGATAGAATCCCTGTATTTTAGTTTTCTCTTATGAAAACTCCTTCGGGTATTAGTGAAGTTTAAGCACGTGGACAGAGAGTAAACTCACAAGGGATCGTTCATATATTACGTGAGCCAGGAAAAACAGAGTGAAGGTTATCCGCAGGACGTCATTTACTTTTCATAGGCTTTATATTTAAACACAAGTTTTGGAATTTTGTGAGATTTATTTAAATCTTTTCTTCTCTTCGCGACTAATTTGTAATCTTAAATACAAGTGTATATCATTGATTCTCAATTGTACATTATATAGGACCACGCATTATTCTTGATATCTCAGTCATCTGAGTAGCATGAGCTCAAATTTTAATCAGGTCAAGTGTAATTTGAAACTCAGTGACTGAGTAATAAGCCCAAAACATTTGTACATTGAAATCTGATCAACTGTATCACATGTACCAAGAGGTTCTCTATCCCATGGAAATGAGAACACATTACCAATCAAACTTACCTCAATTAGTTGGCTGAGCTTCTTCTTTTTCACAAATCCGCTTCATGATTTTAGAGAAGAGTTTTCTACCGAGCAGATCGTATGCCAGAGGTAGCAGAGACGATATGGTTCCTGAATAGTGTATACTGAATTACAGAGTTTATAATAAATGGTCAAATTTTAACACAGATGGGGAGGGGCAAAAGTCACTGGTCAGTATGTATACATTGAATTGGGTCTTATAAATAGCAGTGTATCATATTTTAAAACTGTAACATTGCAGATGGTACACGGTAACTAGACTACTCATTTGAGGATTCCGTCGCCGGATAGGATTAATCCGAGAGCGGAGCTATTTAACTTACCGAGCGCGAGAGGTGTGCTCTCGGATTTAGCGCGGCGCAGCGCGCGCGCATATTAATCTGAAAATTAAACGTAACCCTGCGCGAGTATCATCACAAAATCAAATAACGCGTGCTACATCTTAAACTTCAGTAGACCCTATGAGGGCATTTTCCGTAATTATTTGCCAAAAACCTAATAGTTCCAAAGTATGGTATGATTAACTAAAGAGACAGAAGTGTCTACAAAGACAGCCCTCTATTCTGAACCAGGGCCTAAGTTTCAAAATAATAGCCTATAGAGTTAGTTTTTATCTAAAACTTATGCCAGCGCTACAATACTGACATCAGAAAACCCGAAATTTTAGTTTGCAAAAGCAGGAAATGACTGAGTAAACTGGAAAGGAGCGTTGTGAACTGCTCGAATCTACTCACCCATGAAGTTCCGACTTGTTTTATGTGCTAAGACACACATTCCCAACTCGAAGCCCATTCCGTAATCACACTCATCGTTTGCGAACTGAAATAAATAAATACATTTTAGTATTAGTAGTTATGACAGGCTTCGAAAATAAAAATACCCCAAAAATATATATGTAAGCCATACAAGCTCGTGTGTGACTTAGTATTGTAAAACACCTTATTAATCTTAGTCTAATAACATATCAGGTAGCCAGCCTCATATTAAATACCCAAGACATATATTATGACCATTATATTCAATACCGTATTCAATGATATTGCATATTCAATACCTTTAAAGCTTATATTATGAACATATATTATGACCATTATATTCAATACCGTATTCAATGATATTGCATATTCAATACCTTTAAAGCTTTCATAAAGCATGATCTCTCAAGAACTAAAAGATTTAACAGTTAATACTTAATACCACTGGGAGACCTTGGGTCAGAAAACTGATCCGGCCCCCAAGAGGGGTCAGATCACGTCACTAATTAGTGACGTATAATTAGTGATGTTGATCCATGGATTGAATATAATTGACACAGAAATGGGCTAGATCTGGGGTAGAGTTCACATGACAACTCTGTACATAGAAGCTATAAATTAAGAAGTGAACATGTTTTAAATTGAGACAATGTATTGGTTGGTTATAAAATGTTATTAAAATGTTAAATCGATTAATGATATAATAAGGCAGCCCTTAATACTCAATACAGATCGTATTGAGTAAGGGAGTTCAATCCATATTTTAGGATAAATTAGATTTGCTTGTATTAATAGAAGTAATAATGATTTAATACTCCTGCTTTGCGCTAACAGTTATAATGATAGAAAAGTATTCCTTACAGAAATGTCTTTTGATCAAGATAATGCATAAAAATACTTATCTAGAAAATAAGAAAAAACAGATAGTACAGCAAAAATTTGATTAGTGCAATTTTCCATATTACAGACTACAGCAGATCTTGGTATTTATAGGCAACCACCAAGGCTTGTGTATCCATCAACTTATTACGTCACGTGAGCACTAAAGTGGCACGTGCCAAGTGTTAATCCAATCAACTGTATACAGCCTTAATCTGTAAATCTGCTAAATATACCGGTGTCTGCGGCTTTGATTATAAATTGGGCTGTAGTGCAGACTGTAACTATTGCTATAAACAGTAACTATTGCTATAAACAGTAATTATTACTATTAACAGTAATTATTGCTATTAACAGTAATTATTGCTATAAACAGTAATTATTGTAATTAACAGTAATTATTGTAATTATTGTTATTAACAGTTACTATTGTAATTAACAGTAATTATTGCTATTAACAGTAATTATTGCTATTAACAGTAATTATTGTAATTAACAGTAATTATTGTAATTATTGTTATTAACAGTTATTATTGTAATTATTGTAATTTATAATGGTCTAACAAATCATAAATTTCTTTTCGTGATAGCAATAAGAGACTTCATTATTACTCAACTGCAAATTTCCGTGTACAATAAAATAAAATATCCGTACTTGAAATGTAATGTACCTGAATGTAGTTCATACACTCATCAAATGGAGCCAGTATTTTATCTTTCTTCGCCTCATCATCTGTTTCACAACTTTTTGTCAGCATGGCGTCAAGCTCGGCTGTAAAAAGAACAATGTTTCTTTTTAAGACTATAGAATGACGCATTCGTCCGAGAACATTCGCCCCAAATATTTAAATATCGTGTTTCATTCTACAAATTACAACAATGAAATCCGAGACATATTTTTAGATATTGTGTCTTTCTGAGAAGTATTTACGATAATATTCATATAATCATGGGTCAATATACATTAACAGGGTGAAATTCTTGGGTAAACTTGATAAAATAGTTGTAACATGGTTAACCACTTTCCTTGTGTTGTTGGCTGATCATATGAGCGGGATATAAATACCTCATTTCATTTAATATCACGATGAATTTAACTCAAAGCTCTCTTAAAATGAACAATTGACATTTTCATTCATCAAAACATGCTGACACTAAAAAGGGTATGAACGCAATACATGGTATAAATGTCCTGTTGTGAAGTTTCAACAATATTTCAAATTTGTATATGACTGTTTAACACATGTGCTCACTGCTCCTATACTTTCTTGAATCAGCCTCACCAGATAGTATTATACCAGACTCCAGACTCCAGAGTTATATTAGTTATAATACTAGTTATACTACTAGTTATATTACTAGTTATACTAGTTATAATACTAGTTATCCTAGTTATAATACTAGTTATACTAGTTATATTACTAGTTATACTAGTTATATCACTAGTTATACTAGTTATAATACTAGTTATAATAGTTATAATACTAGTTATATTAGTTATAATACTAGTTATACTAGTTATAATACTAGTTATACTAGTTATATTACTAGTTATATTACTAGTTATATTACTAGTTATACTAGTTATATTACTAGTTATATTACTAGTTATATCACTAGTTATACTAGTTATATTAGTAGACAGGATACTCCAAAATAATGTATTAGTATCGTGGCGTGAAATAAAGGGTGTACTGCTTCAACCCCTCTCCACCTCCAAGTATACCGTGTTACTTAAGATAGCTGCCAACAATAGAGAGGGTAACAATAGTTCCGGGACACAGAGTACAATTCAAAAGTTCTAAATATAACTCAGCTAAAAATAGCGCGTTATGGTTCATTGTATTTACGTGAATACAGAATTGGAAAAAAGGTACTCGCGGTTAAGTGCCCCGACTGTGTCTTTTGTATAGAATGTGCATTGTGCCCCAACTGTGCATCGACACATTACCGTCAACCAAGTACTTAAAATTGAATAAAACGGGCAAAAGTTGATAAAAGATGTACTGTATTATAAAAGGTACTGGGTATTTAAAGCCAGTAAAATAGTTGAACTCACAGTAACTCATGGTTAATGGTCGATATCCCACGTCATTCTTACCAACCAGCACAACTATCCCAATCTGAAGAATTGTTATTAAAGTATTAAATCATGGGTCAAGTCAGAATAAACCAGTAAACAGGCTTTTTAAAGGAACATTTTAAGTTTATATACATAACGAAAATGCCGGTAATCTATGATGCCGGTAATCTATGTAATTATTGTACTACAATGAACAATGAACATAGACCGGCTATATGTCAGTTAAGTCAGTGTTGCACCTTGTTAAATGTCTTAGCAACGACACTTTTCCTCCTTGTAGTTTCTACTTTTTTCAAATCTTTCGTAGAAGCGTGGGCTTCAATCAGCTTTTTCAGATCTTTAGGTAGATCAACTTTTCGTTTCTTGCTTAAAACCCTGTGTATTATATCATTATTATATCATGTATTATATATTACATATCATATTATGTATGCATATGATCATACTACATATAATTATCATTGTTTTGAATTTAAACGTTCACAGGTGATTAAAGAGACGTGTCCCACCATTTGAAACCCACTCTAACTTATGTCAATGTCCCAATATATAAGGGGATTTATCTTTTAGTTCATTTGTCAAATTTTGATGATAAATGTATGTCTGGTGGTGGCAGACAACTTGATAAATGTTGAACATATAATAAGTTGCTGTATTTAAATACTTGAGAAAATTCCAGATACCCGATACTATAATAACGATTATAACACCTATATAATGACTGATAACATACTGAAACATAAGAGTTAAGTACAAACCTTATTAGGTCAGTGTGTCCATTGCAACAGGTGTTATAGCACCGTGATCACCCTTCCGTTTCTCTACAACAAATGTTGGCCGCTCCCAAGGGGTGTCCCTGGAGAAACAACATTTGCAACTTGTTTAGTTGACGAAATCTCCCAAAAAATTACGTTAGAATAAAAGCGCTATTTCAACAAAGTTTGACTGCCTCGTTGCGTAGCAACATCAAATGATTTATATAATATACGTCATGACTAACTTACATTTATGCTCACTCTATACTTTGACTATTCATAACTTAGACCGTTGTCAATTGTCATTGATAACTTTTGATGCGGTATAAGTATCGATTAGAGGATAAGGGAATACTTAGAACTTTGTTGTCATCGTCGAATAAAAATCCATAATTAGTACAGTGCGGAGCTACACGATGAAGAGAAATTAGAAAATAACTGATGTTCAATTTCAATGAATCATTTCGAGCAGCGGGTTTCTGGTATTACATATTATAAAGTTTTCAGACATTGGTCTGTTTTTAGTTCATAAAAGTTTACTGACTTACATATATTCAGGTCTCATGATGTAGTTTTTCTACGAAGATTTCAACCGGAACCTTGTGTGTTTACTTACTGTGTGTCCAACCAAATACATATTATAAATGTTAGAATGTTGAATTTAATAGTTGCATTATATAATATATAGCATTAATACAGTTCATTATAACGGAATTTACAATAAAGCCATTTATGATGAAGGGGCTGTTCCGACTTCGTGGTCAATACACACTATTAAAGTACTATAAAGTTGCAGCCTCTGTATTTAATATTAAAATAATTACCATCTCGAGATTGCCCGCCAACCCAGTTTACCTGGTTACTTTTAATGCCTACATTTACGGGCTGTTCCACAGAAAATGTGGATCCTGGCCGGTGCCCAGTAGTTCATAAATTCACAAAGTCTAGAACCTAAGTCGTTACTGCATGTTAGTATATAATGTAGCCAATTTTTTGATAACCAACAAAATAAATTGTATGTACGCTTTATAACATTTGCCTAATCCGGACAGAGACTAGAGACTAGAGAGCAACCTAAACTGTGCAATGTTTCATTGTGTGTAATAACGAGTTCATTACGAATCATTTGTACATTTAAAGTCAAGTTAAGTCAAGTAGAACTAAAAATCCGCATACTGCTGCGGAGGTAAATTTTATTAACTTGTCAGAAAAAATGTTAAGAACCCACCCCCCTCCGGTAATCATATCTATTAGTAAATTACTGATGGGTAATAATAATTGTGCAATATAAGGCAACAATTGGAATAACATAGCTCAACAATAAACAAGCTTACTAATCAGGCTTATTTGAGGTACACAGAGAATAATGACTTATTAAACGGTCGATTCTGAAGAAAGTCTGATCAAATACATTAGTAAGGCTGAGTGCCTTAATTATTAACAGAAGAATGTGAAATTATGACTTATCCTGATAATTAAGAGTATGTACACTACACATTATATCTAAAGTAAAGAAAGCAAACCTCCACAATCCAAACAAGTGAGTGTGGTTCTGTGTACAAGGTTGAAACTCAGGAGGATAAAGAAAACAAACCTCCACAATCCAAACAAGTGTGTGTGGTTCTGTGCACAAGGTTGAAACTCAGGAGGATAAAGAAAACAAACCTCCACAATCCAAACAAGTGTGTGTGGTTCTGTGCACAAGGTTGAAACTCGGGAGGATAAAGAAAACAAACCTCCACAATCCAAACAAGTGAGTGTGGTTCTGTGTACAAGGTTGAAACTCAGGAGGATAAAGAAAACAAACCTCCACAATCCAAACAAGTGAGTGTGGTTCTGTGTACAAGGTTGAAACTCAGGAGGATAAAGAAAACAAACCTCCACAATCCAAACAAGTGTGTGTGGTTCTGTGCACAAGGTTGAAACTCAGGAGGATAAAGAAAACAAACCTCCACAATCCAAACAAGTGAGTATGGTTCTGTGCACAAGGTTGAAACTCAGGAGGATAAAGAAAACAAACCTCCACAATCCAAACAAGTGAGTGTGGTTCTGTGCACAAGGTTGAAACTCGGGAGGACATTGCCACTCTCTATCTAACATGTGCAAATCAACTGCGTCACTTGGCGCTGTGCTGTCAGTGTTCGACGCTGTGTTCTCTGTGTTCGTGGTCGATTTCTGGAGGTAGCGGAACGGACCACATAGCTTGAGATTCAGTAGTGAGTGCAGACTATCTGACAAATATGTAATAAGTTATGTATGACTATTTATCAATAAATATGAAATTCTGTATAACAAATTATAAAGTCATGTCATATACAGTAGAACCTCTATTATATTTCTTGCCTCTCTATATACCCGGTACCTTGATATACTAAGACGCAATGAAACTATCGGACCACGATGTATGGGGACTTGCCACCCCATGGCAACATTAAAATATATCGACTCTGTTACATCGTTTCCTGTTAATATAAAACTCCGTTACAAATTGAACTGGGATCTCAGATCTGGCAATATTACACCTTAGATCAATAAAATATGATAAAGTAATATATAACTAGTAGGCTTAAGTAAAAGTCTGATAGAATATAGAACACAAAATAGTTTACTGCTTATACCGGACCTCGAGCTGTATTCCATGACAATACAACACAATACAATACAAACATATAAGGCCATAATATTAATGTGCACTTTTCGTTTCCCCGAGAAGCCTGATATAAAGAGGTTTTGATGACCAGAATTATAGATTACCTTACTCGGGAATATTATAGCGGGTTAATTTATGACTGGGAAAATTAATGACCGGGAAAAATATGGCGGAATTTTCCAAAACCCACCAAGCATCAAAATGTATTACTATTAGTTTACCTTACTCGGGAACATTATAGCGGGTTAATTTATGACTGGGAAAATTAATGACCGGGAAAAATATGGCGGAATTTTCCAAAACCCACCACTTTATCCCAGTCATAATATTCCCGAGTAAGGTAAATCGATTTCTTTCAAAAGGGATACTTTCAAAGATATCATAAAGTTATGCGATTCTAATTGATCACTCTAGAGATTTGGATAGTGGTGGGGATGTGACCGGTAAATCGGTGTCACGTGTCAGATCTACAGTGTCACCGTGTCACGTGCCAGATTTACAGTTTGTCACGTGTCAAATATGCACTCTAATATCTACTCACTTAGTGGGTCCTCAGGAGATTGATTGAGAGACCAAGTCCACAGTAGTTGCATACCAGGGTTAAACCTAACCCCGAATGTTTCTTCCAGCTCAGACTTTTTACTCTGGTGGTGGATTAGATGGTTTTACATCGGTAATTGGTTAGCAAGTTTTACGCAATCCTACAATAATATTTGAACGGTTTTAAGAGAACGGTATATTTCTGGTATCTACGCACAGGAACGATATTATATAATACTGGTTATAAATCATTCAATTTGTTTAGGTTCGCTTCAAGACAACTATTTAAACATAACCCAACACCAATCAGAAGTTAATTAGAAGCAGAGCAAAGCTTACCATTACCGAGGCCTCGCGAGGGCGTATTTCAGTCACACGACGACATTTTAGGCAATAGTATTTAACCAAGATGACATTTTAAACGGAAATCACGGAATCACGGAATCACGTGACCTCTTCAGAAAGGTCATGTGAGTTAGAATCAGGCGAAATTGTAATTATCCATTTTGTTCTGTGCACAATATTGTTTAATAGTTCATTATATATTCTTCATACGAGATGCACAAGTTGTACATGGTCTGGCAAAAGTATATTACTCTCTCTGTATCAACAGAAATCATTTAAATAAAGAGCCAACCTTGCAGTGTGTTACTTAAATATTAAGTAGTTGACGCAAAACTTAAATTATTGAGCTGCTCCTCAACAGGTTTTAGTGGACAATCTGCTTTCCCTGACGTCATAAACAGCAAGAATACTGCAAATTCCTAATCAGAGTGTTTAAAGTACAAGGGGCGCGGGCGTGGTATTGAAATGGGGAGTTTTAAATATTTGACGATTAAATCCTCGAATAAATGGTAGCAGTATGTCACGTGATCACTGATCCTGCAAACCCAAGCGTTAATAAACTTTTGTGCTAATTTATATTTGAAATCTATCTGTTTCAGGACTTGTTTAATTACTACTATCAATTGTGATGAACCTTGTTCAGTTAACCTTGTTAACCTTAGTTAACCTTAGTTAACCTTGTTAACCTTAGTTAACATTAGTTAACCTTGTTAACATTAGTTAACCTTAGTTAACATTAGTTAACCTTGTTAACATTAGTTAACCTTGTTAAGGCCAGAGGGGGGGGTAAGGGGTCAAAAAAATCGACCAAAATATTATTTTCTAAATCAATTTAATTTTCGATGACAAAAACATTGCTGCTATTCACATATTTGTAGCTGCTTAACTTTTTTTAATAATTGAGGTTAACCGATTTTCACAAAATTGATTATACAACATTGAGGTTAATAAAATTGAGGTTAATATTTTACTACACTGCATAATTTTTTGTTTTTTCGGTCAGCAAATGTAAACTCTAAATTGTAGGTTCATAATTATCAGAAAAAGTAATATCCAAACGTGATTAAATGAGGTTAACCTCTTGATTTAGGTATAGCGAAAATAGATTAGATGATAGAGTTGTTATTTCTATCGTAAGATTACGACATACAAATTTCCTAATAGATGTAGTGCTGATTTACTTCATTTTATCTCGAGAAAGTGTCGAAAATGAGGTTAACCATATCATTTGGTAGTTTAAGAATTATTTACACAAGATTTTTACTTTTGTTATGTACCACAATATCGCAGTGAGGTATCTATTTGTATTCCAATGCTTCAAATATGATCATGAGACAAAGGTGATTAGAACTGACCATATATAAGTAGAAGAGTTCACCCATAAATAGCTTAAAAATGAGGTTAACCTCTCATTTGTTGAATATCGGGCCAGTCAATCACATGTTAACCTCAAAAACTTAATTGTTACACTGGGCAAATGTTTCATTACATGTATACAAATATATTGATAAACCAATTCCATTGTTATATGGTCTATAGCGAGGTTAACAATCATATTTTTTACTACTACTACAAAATATCGTGATAGTTAACCTCATTTTTAGACAAATTTTGGTTTATGATATTGATTTTCCCAACATAAAGTATCTCAATAACCATCTTCCCACCTTAAAGCAAAAATTGTATGCGGACGCTACTAAATACGGAAAATAATCCACAATTTGAGATTTTGGCAGTGAAATAAAAACACCAAAACTCTTTTTACTCAAAACAGTTTTTTTCATACAAACGTCCCTTAGTTGAGAATACTGGCCACACCCAGAAGCTGAAACTTGGCACAGGTGTTCCTTGGGTTGTCACCAACAATTCTATTGTACAAAATTTTGATATTTGCCTCTGTTCTTGAGTTATGAGGTTAACTGTCGAAAAACTGTCGAATTTGGGGTAAAGTTAACCTCATATCCCAAGAACAGAAGCAAATATCAAAATTTTGTACAATAGAATTGTGTAAAACAGTCTAAGGAACACATGTGCCAAGTTTCAGCTCCTGGGTGTGGCCAGTCTTCTCAACTTAGAGCGTTTTAACTTTTTACAGTTTAAGTTTAAGTTTGACATGTAATTACATGTAAACCTCAATATTTGGCGCGCGATATCTAAAAAACGCAAGGTCAGATTTCGGTCCGGTTTTTTTCCTCTTGTTTGTCTCCAGCAGCTCTAATCAAATATGTGATAACTAGAAAATCGACTTTTACCCCCCCCTCTGGCCTTAACCTTAGTTAACCTTGTTAACCTTGTTAACCTTAGTTAACTTTAGTTAACCTTGTTAACTGTCTCAGATAATTATCAAAATAATTATATATCTATCTATATAATATATTATGTATAATAGATTTTTGGGGAATGAACAAAGAATACCTCATCACATCATAATTAGTAATTTAATAAATAAATTAAATAAATAATTAGTAATTTAATAAATAAATTAAATAAACCCAATCAAAATTATTTTACTAACCTCTTTATCTTCCCTCACTTTTCGTCTTTTGACTTTTGGCTCAGACATGGTCTGTACAACCTAATATAACTATCCAGGTTGATCAAACGGTCAATTAAAAACCCTCGAATTCCATTCTCATCATGTCAGAACAAGCACTTTTGAGCAAATTAGGCAAGATTTAAAGGTTTGTGATTCTAGATTGTAATTCAGGAACTTTGTGCTTTAAGTTTGTGTGTTAATGGTTACCTAATACATGATACTAATTGAGTATTAATTCTAGATTTTGTGGTTACAATAAAGAAAAAGTTGACTTCTGGAACTAGCTGTTGATATCAGCCACAAACTGAATATGAAAGTAATCACAATAACACTGACATAACATTATGTATTACAATATGTTTCCTATCCGGGTATTCCATTCAAAATTCAAAATTTAACATTCAAATCAGTCCAAAACTTTTTACATCAAATCAAAATTAAAATTACAGCATCAAGGATCTCATCATAAGAAGAGAGGCCAATTCAAAGAAAACGCAATTTTAGCACTTCTTGTCTTCAAATTTGTGTGTATTATCGATTTCACCTGTACTGCACTAGAAACTAACAGCAGCCCCTAATAAAAGTTTTTTATCGTTGGTTTTGAACATCAGTGATGTTCCAACAAAAATGTTTTTAAATTTTACCACCATTTATCAAAATCTATAGAGATAGCCTAATATCTTAATAAAAGTTAATCAACTGTTTAATCGCTTATTAGAGTATTGGTCCCAATTAAATGAACGCCATGCAACAGCAAAACATACCGTACCAATCAGACATAACAATGCGTTATGGAAACTTTGATTGGTGCTTCGATCACAACTTTACCAGCCTAAAACTATGACGGGTCGAGGTTTTCACAACTTACAAATCCTCTCAATACTTGACTCATATCGCATTTTTATACTAAACATGTTGCACGTGTGACACTAAAAACACAACCACTAAAAAGAACATGATCACATCCAGTATTTACATTTCTGAACTACAAATTCCCAAATTATAAGACTCCAAAAATGTGCCTAGCAGACTTGACCATCATTTGTGAGATCATGTAGTTCACCGATTTCACCTCAATTTCCAAAGTATTTTGCACAAAACTAAGAAGAATCTTCATTAATACAAGCATTCCTGCACTAGACGAATAAAGGAATATCTGCTGAGGATCTACATTAGAAGGAGTGATAGCCATGGTCGATATTGAGTGTCTCAGTAGAAGTGCCTGTATATCAGTCGATACTAAAATGTTCGTTTTGTACAGCTGTACTTTGAACTTTTCTGGTTTCCAATTTTTACCCCAGTTCTGTTCGTATACCTCCGGTTGAACTGTAGTCAGTGATAAAGTCATGAGGAAGTTTTTAACTGATTGTGTTTCTGCGGCATTATTGCTACTTTTCTGTGAAGATGCTGGTGGACCAAATAACGAGGACAGATCATCGTTGATACTGATAGAGCTTGTGTTTTTGGTGGCTTGTGTTGTAGAAATGTCTGTTATGTTGCTTGTAGGTGGTGTGTTGAGTCCTAATATATCGTCTAAAGTTTCTCCGACATTCCCCTGTTTTGTATTGAGATCAGGAGCGACTGTAGGTGCTGGGACTGGATCATCTATTTCCAGTAAATTTACAGCAACCTCAACAGACGCAACCTCAACAGGCTCTGAGACAACAGATTTGGGTTCTTCAGCTTCCTCTGGGAGTTCTTCTGTGACAGACCGCCCAATATCAACTGGATAGCACTCAAACGATATCGCTTCCTTAGCCGAAACAGAAACATGGGGTGCATCCTTTGAGTCCAAAACCCCCTTCAAGTTGTTCAGAATAACGTTGCAGTAGACATTGGCACGCCCTCGCATTAGAGGATCATCATCCTTAGCAACGAGAGTAAGAAGTTTGTAAGCAATGGTTGCCATTCCGGGGAGACCGGACTGTTTTAGACAAGCAGCCAGGAGAGCTGTTCTGACGTCACACTCCAAGTTACCGTACTCCTCCACATAGCAGTACATCATGGAAACACATTCTGGTAAGATGTGACCATAGGATCCCAACATGGACAACAGAGCAATGTTGGCTGATGGTGTTAGATCAAATTCTGCACAGCGCTGAAGCTGGGGTAGAACCACCTCAGCGCTGTCCTGCAGCGAAACTACAATGTTCTCCAGGCAGGGAAGTAAGGTGGAGATGATTGTACCAGACCCAGACTGGAGCAGTCCAGTCAACTGAACGATGAGTCCGCTCATCTCGCTGCCGTGAGTCAGGACACAAGCTGTAACACACTCAACCAACTCCGGGCAAATATCAGCATGCTTGGGCGAGTTCAGACATTCTAACAGCTCAGCAACTATCTTGGAGACATTGTTTTTATTGATAATTGTTGATAGCACCCGGAGTTTTTCAGCTTTCAAGTAAGCAGGATCGTGGTAAGCTGGGAAAAATGTCTTGTAGTGTCTGAACAGAACCGAAGTGTCGTCAATTATTTTGGGAATTTCAAGACAAAACCAGTATGCAATTTCTGGACTGGAGTGTATAACTCGGAAAAGCAAAGGTTTGGTAACTCGGTCGATGAACTGGGACTGCATTTCACGAGAATCCAGTCCAGTGATCAGGGGTTGAAGCAAAGTGACTGTGTGAAGAACAACACTCGGAGAACAATCATCAAGAAATCCATCGACTAAGTTAAGCACCTCCATAACACCAGCCTCACCATTGGTTAGTGTTTGAGTATCAATTCCTGATAAGATGAGAGGTACTTGCCAATCAGAAAAGTCATTCAGACGTTTTAAAAGTTTCATAGCAAGAGGCTGTCTCATTTTGTAGCCAGGCTTTGTTTGTACTAATGCTATGATAGCGATGGCAGCCACCCCTTCATCGAAATCCTCTAGAATCTCCTCAAGATGCAGCCCTAAGAGTTGTTCCTCAAAAACATCTCTACTCATCTTGAAAACCTTGACACACCCATCCACAGCTAGACGTCTCACATATGGACTGCTATCCTGAAGTGCTTGTTTGATTGGTGGGGCTATGTACTCTGCTAGATCTGGAATATTCAAAGAACCAAGAGTCTGAAGAGCGTGTCCACGTTTGAGGGGTTCAGAATCGTGCATTATCTCCTTGGTAAGTTGGTTAATGCAGAGCAGAGCTGTTTCAGAGTGAAGGTGACCATACTGAGCAGTAAACATCCCAATGAGGCGACTGATGGAGCTTTCCTTGACTCTCACTTGTAGGACAATGTCAGGGAATAAGGAGGACATGTCCTTGCCAACATACACATTGGCCATGATCTTGGACATGACCTTTTTCAACTTCTCTAGGTCACCATTGTGGGAACGCAGGAGGGTTCTCAACTCATCTATTTCAGAGCTAGACATTCCTGGAAGTAAAAATGTAGCTTTTAATTGAATGATGTAGTTAATGATGACAGCTGAACACAATTTATAAGTATTGATGCTTTGTAGAGACATTTCATCGATAGATATTTTGGAAAACTGATGACATTTTATTATTATTAAGGTACAAATGTTAGTAGTTAGCATGTTAAAGTGATAAATAGCTAGAACTATAACAGTTTTGGAAGAAATAAGACTCGTAGATAAAAACATAGCTTTCGATTTAAAACGAAATATCAATTTTAGTAATTTAAAACAGTATTTTAAAATGATAATTTTTAAACAAAGAATAAAATAACGTAATTTATGGGGGAGCCAAAAGATCGGAATCGTTTAGGCTTATAACATAGCACTGACTTTTGGACCCCCTGAAGATATTCAACTGTATACTTATATAAACATTAATCAAAAATAAAACTATAGACAAGAATAGAGATAAATCATAAAACAAACAAAAAAGCATTTAAAATATTTACCCATCTAATCTCTTTCAAATCAGTAAAATGAAAAAAACATTGGAGTAACCTGGTATTCATGATTTGTAACTTTGTAAAGCAGCTTAAATTATGTCATTCCCATTAACATTGCCACTGAAGCACTTAAATCATGCAGATTATTTCTATGGTCCACATAATATTACATCATATCTACAACATATGATCCATTCATTGGGTCTAACTCATTGTTCAGCACCATAACAGCATCCTCTAACGTGACCTTGTGAATAGGTTGTGGTGGAGTCAGTTCTTTTGTTCCGAGTAGTTCTATTTGAGTTATCAGAAAATGTACTAGAGATCCCAGCTTAGATGGAGAACAGAGGTTTGCAGTAGGGTTGATATAGTGCAAAGAACAACCTTTTGCAAACATGTGTTGGCACATTACTTTACTGACAATTTGTTTGTCGTTGGCTAAGACAAGGTGTCCTCCAGCAGCCATGCTAGTGACTGCAAGAGACAATGGTAATGTTCCTTTGTGCAAAACACTTTCATCTTTACTGCCGTCCCTATCAGCATACAACGGATTAGCAACTTGCAGGCACAATACTAGTGAGAATCCAAGTTTGTCAGATTCTTTAATGAGGCTCTCACCTAATTGTTTAGAATTAGAGCGGTGTATCCAAGCCTCAAAGAAGCTATCAATCATGTTCCTGTACGGCATTAGCATGTCTTTCTCAAATTCTTGAGCAAGATAAACAACAATTTTACAACCTCTCTTGTGTAGAGTTTGGATGATTATTTGTCCTTGAGGTGTGTGCCCATCACAAACTAACACTGTGTCACCCCTAGACACCTTGTTTTGTAGAGCAAAGTACGCAGGAATAAGAGCATCAACTGTAACTGTCACATCAGTTTTGTCCAGAGATGACTGGAACCCAAAACAAAAGTAACGAGGAACAATACATGAATCTGATAAACCAGAGTGTTTTGATGTTTCAGGTATCATGAAAACGACAGAAGAGCCCACATTTATATCTCTAACAGCAGATCCCAAATGTGTTATGACACCAATACCTATGTTTCCGACACCTTCTGCTTTGTCTTCTTGGTGATCTTTCATAAGCTCCTTTATTATATATGATATTCTTTTCCTTTTGAAAATACAGGTTTGAACATTGATAGCAACTTCGTAGTCTTTCAGTACCAGGTCAGCTCTCCCCTGAACTTTCACATACTCCATGACATCCCTAGCCTGTGACCTTTCTGTTGCAAACTGGCAGACCACACGATAAGTCATCCTGAAAAGCTTAGTTAGTAATTATTGAAAATAGTTACAGTAGAACTATTTTCCCTGAATTACTGTAACCCCCAATTTACCACACCTTACTTATTTCAATCTAATCAAAGCCTAAAGAGAAAGACTTTGGAAGGAATAAAAGAGGGATGATGATTAGTCTAAGTTTAACTCGTTTTCAATGTAGCTGTGACAGAGAAACCAAACCCCAACCCTTTACTCTGATTCATATTCTAAGCCTAACCCAATTCCGAAGCCAATCATCTGACAAACCCTAATACTAACGAGAATTTAGGCAAATTTATTTTTCCCTTTTCAGAAAAATTTCGATATTCGAGTGATTAAGCACGCTACATTGCAATCCTACTGGATCCATGAAAACCAATTCATTGTCAAAAAATTCAAATGAAGTATGGTGAAATTAAGTCACACGTAGTCAACTTTTTGCAGAACAAAACATTTAGTATAAAATATGTGCATTGGTAAATATGTCAATACTCACATCAGTCGGCATATTATAGGTAAAAACATTCTTAGGGGTCGTTCACATATTACATAATCAGCCGAGGGGATGGGGGTTTCCAAATGATAATACTACTGTAATTTTGACACAATAGCTATGAAACTGATTACGGAGGGAGGAGGGAGTTAAAAATTGTCCAAAAAGTGATCAAGTAATATGTGGACGACCCCTTAGAAGTCCAAGCAGTCAAAGAAACAACATTTTTTGCACAAAGTGATGGCTCACAACTATGCATTAATAACAAAACAATTTGTTCGGCGTTCTTTGATGGATCTATTATTGAGTATGTTCGATGATGTTGTATACATTGACGCTCGATTTTTATACACAATTCAACAGTGGATATTGGCGTAAATATGCGCGGCGCAGGAAAAAAGTTTATAACTAATGATTAAACATGTTTGCTGCAATTCAAATGACAGTGCAACTATTTCACATTTACATTTATTGTGGATTGTATCAAAAAAATACACAACAAACAAATTCAAAATTGAAATTTTGTTTGATTTATATTTTGATTTATTTTGAGGTATTTGTTGTAGCACGATGCGTTACTGTGCCGCGCCGCGCACTCAATGAGGCTTCTCACAGCGAGATCGGCGAAATGCGCTACTGTGCCGCGCCGAGCTGCGATAAATTGACATCGTCAACAGTCAATTAAGGTATTTGCCGCGAACTGGCCGTGTACTTACTGGGCTGCGCTCAGCCTGTCATTCCGCCGAATCTTTATTCGGGCTGAGTGATTTACGACCTCCATCGCCCTGAAAAAAGTGCGAATGCTCATTGGATACTACAGCGCACGTGACTCGCATTCACGTGATCGTTCAGAACCAATTACAGCCGCACAAAATATCATGTGCACGCCAACTACCAATAAGAAAGAATCGACGTATGCGCTACAAGAGCCGCGCGCTGAGTTATATTGTAAAATCTGGTTATTTGACTGTAAAATCGCATAAACGCGCCTATTTGCGCGTTTTAGAGGGTTCAATTACGCCAGGCTATGTTAATGAACATAATAGCCTGGGGTCCCCAGGTAAGCCGTGTACTTGTCTGCATGGCACATGTGATATGGCTTGACCATTGTTAATGGTCTGGCCCGGCGCGCGCTACTTCATAGCACTTGCCATCGAGAAGAAAGCGGCGCGCGCTACTTCGAATAAATTTAGACGAGTAACATCCGTCAAATTTAACTGGTGATATCCAATATCCATACATTATAAATTTGAAATACAGCGTCGATGATTTTGAAGCACAATTCAATTGACAATATATTATATCATTGATTAGTTTGTAGTTGCGAAGCAACTCCGCGCTCGTATCAGTCGGTAAAATTAAGTAACAACTACAATCTTGACACACGTTGCAACTTCTTTTTTGGAGGACTTCACCGCTTCGGCGCAAACTATCATTTTTACTTCGCACCGAAGATCGTTGCTTTGTTAATTCGCAAAGTAAAAGTAACGTTTCCCCCAGGGGGAACATTTAAAACAACATAGATTTGGAGTTATCATACGTTGTATGACCCGCCGCGCACGAGTGCGCGGCTCCCCCTGTATCGTAGAAACTCTATAGACATAGTGAAGCCAAAAGCGACAGTGGGGGTCACCACGTGATACAAGATTTGGAGTTATCTTCAAATCTCCAGAAAAGTGTCATTTTGGCCGGCCGATCAAAAGTTTGAAACTTTAACTTTGCAGATTTCTTGTTTCTGTACTCTAATTGGCTGAATTGTGTCACGTGCTAGCTGCTTAAACATTGGAATGCGCCACGCGTGCAAATCATGCTTAATGTCGCGCGCGAGCTCTAGCCGTCTGTTTAAATTAAACCACCTCTAATACCACCGCCAGCCAGTATCTTTTGCTGGGTATCATAACGCATAACTGATGATGAAGTACCTAATTAGGGCTACTATAATTGTCATACGTTGTATGACCCGCCGCGCACGGCTCCCCCTGTATCGTCAGGACCGTGGGGGTCGCAACGTGATACAAGGCTACTACATGCCAAACACAAGGATATCTCGTACTCGGATCATCTTCATGTGCCTGTTAAGTGAGCCTATAATGGGCACCACTTCTTGTCAAATTGGCTTTTGAATTACGACCCAATCATGAAGTAAAACAGTATAAGCTGTATTTTAACGGCGAAATACAGCAAATTCTAGTTCTTTAAAATCGTAGGTTTGGCGGATCAATACGGCTACTTTAATTATTTAAAGTCTTAAGTTTGAACGGCCAAAATACCCGCGTATTAGTCAGCTGCACCCAGAAACCCTTACTATATACTGGCCAGGGCCTAACTTCGAAAGTAAAAGAGATAGCGACTTCCGGTTTAGTGGTACTGAGTAGGATTTACAATACTTAGATACACGTTGTATACCTCGCGTGCGAAAAGAGGTATACCATATACAACGTGTATCAAATAATACTACATATTAGCACTTTAAACGTAATGTTCAAATGCACCGCATCATACAAGGCAGAGCTCGACCGGGATCCCGGCCGGGATTTGGCGATTTTGTCCCGGTCCCGGCCGGGATTTTGTTTTTAGCCGGGATTTTTCCAAAATAAAGTCGGTTTTTGGGCATATATTTGAGCCCAAATTTCACGAACCTGTGAACATTTTCCGAAAAGTTTTACTACAACAGTGCTCTACAGTGCTACTTAATAGTTAGATCATTTCACTTTCTCGTCGCCAAAAGTTTATTGAAAATTCAACTTTCAAGTCTTATGTGAAATGTTTATGTTACATGATCAAAATTTCAGAGATAAAGAGAGAGATAGAGAAAGATAGAGAGAGAGATAGAGATTAGAGAGAGATAGAGATTAGAGAGAGATAGAGTAGTTACAACTACTTACTGTCAATTTTAACTTGACATACCTCAGTTTGTTCTGGAAGATTTTATTTAACATATAACACTGTTTCATTTTAACTGAGATTGAGAAATATTGGAAAAATCCCGGTCCCGGCCGGGATGAGGCTAATCCTGGTCCCGGCCGGGTTTTCATTTCGATCCCGGTCCCGGCCGGGATGAAGGTCATCCCGGCCCGGTCCCGGCCGGGACTAAATTTCGATCCCGGTCGACCACTGATACAAGGTATTAACAGTTTAGAGATAACTGTTTATTTGTTATTGGGGATACCAGTGCGAAATATACTCGATATTTTGACTGGTCGGGTGACCCAAGGTTGCTGGTACGTGTGTTAGCTCACTAAGCCATAAACTCAACCTTGTTGAGCTTCCTCAACTCCACCTAGTCTCTGATGTGACAACGGGGTCTCATTTAACAGTTGATACTCGTAAAATATTTGTTCCAAATATTAGACCGTCGATGAGTCCTTGACACACGCTGCAACCCCTTTTGATCGCCGGCGTGCACGAGAGGTATACAACGTGTAGCAAATGAGTCCAACTCGGCGCGCCTCTTGGTAGGTTATAAACCTACAAGGTCTCATAAAATAGTAGCAGGGACACTTAAACTGCTGCTAGTAGGCAAAGAAAAACACAATTCTGATTTTTTATTAACTGAAGAATAAGCAAGTTTACAATTCAGGGCATCTAAGGTTCTCATTTAAAAACGAGGAAACAAGGGAATCATAACAATCTTAACACGTGAAACTGCGATTGATGTTCTATTATTATGGTTCTAAATAATAACGATCATTAGAAAACAAACACATTCTTGACAATTTGAAAGTTGACAAGAATATGTTTGTTTTTGATCAGATGCAATAATAAATTAGGGCGATTATTTATTTTTAGTCCCATTTATGGAAAAAGGTACGACATAGCTTTAAAATGATCTTAAGAGGACATAGCGTCTTGCCTTATCTCAGATTTTATCTATCAACTTCAATGTGAACTGACGAGTTTTCTCCTACAACGACCGTCCCACTGATTAAATACTTATTTTACCCATTAAATATTATAAAGAAACCTAAGGCTTGCCAGTTAAACAGTTAATGGTTTTTAAATAAAGGTTAACGTTAACTTATAAAGGAGTCTTATGGCGAATAAATTAGAGTTTTTGAACATAGCTAAAGCCTCGCTGTGATTTAAAAAATTATTTTCTGGTCATATTTTTCACGTGCTATGGCGTCATCTGTTTTTTTGTGGAATCAATAATTTCAAGATTTTTCTCCAGGGAAAGTAGTTGTCCGAAAAATTTAAAAAATTAATTATTGTAGTGATAATCATTATGTAAAGAATTTTCCGATAAAATTCCTTTCATCCGCCAGGCAACTTTCGGAGGCATTAGCTATGTTGTTGGAAAAATATCGTAATTCTAAGAGATAAAAACATCACGCACTTGCATTTCTTAAAAAATTAAGCGAACATTCACATCTTCTCGTACACACGGAGTGATCATTATTGTGACAAATTCAGAACATTCCAGACTGTTCTAGTTAATTCTGCTGCGCGCAGCACTTCAGGAGAGTTTCCACTTTAAAACGAGTTTGCACAGCACAACAAATAGTCCAGTCTGTCGCTCCAAGTTTGGTGCAGCAAGCCCCGGCACAACATATGATATCTGAATAATATCTTTGAAAATATCTTACTAAATGTAAGGAGATATCGTCTAAATTTTAACCAGATACTGTCTTTAAAGGACAAAAGATCAGCTTGAGCCTGGGTCCCAAAAAACTATGGGATACTTATAAAGGGCAACGAGACAGTAAGCACATAAGTTTCACTAAATATTGAGGTTGCTGTGAACTTTCAGAACCGACTAACAATCCGGAATAAATTATAAAATCACCTGGTTATACTGTCCAAAATATTTTGTAGAGAGACTTGTATGTACAAAATGTAAGTTTGTACAGGTCTTCGAATACAAATAATAGGGGGGGGGGGGGGGGGGGGGGGGCCATTAGTGCCAAAGTTCACGGCAACCTTTTATTTGACAACCCAAAACCTTGCAATCTAGCTCGAGCACATGTATCACAATAAAATATAATTTAACTTCCAAAAACTTATAACGTAAATTTGATCACTTCGCCACCTTTGCTATCAATCAAACTGATCTTTAAATAGAAGCTTGTTTGAGTATATAATTATCTCCAAAATTCATTCACGGAAGATGATCATCTACACAGGGGGCCATGCATTGTGGTATTAAACTTGAATCATTTCTATATCAAATTAAATCGAATTAACTGTCCTGCACATCTCAAACCGGCCCAACTAGTCTAAAAAATAAGTCGTCCCGATTTTAAATAAATTAAAATGGTTATGTGCACTAAGTTAATTAATTAATTATTCCGTTTACATTCTGAAGTGTTGAATTAAAGATGCTGTTAATTATCATAATAAAAAAGCCCACTGTTGTACGAATAAAATTTTTTCTCACCCGAACATAGCATTACATATAACGGTTTCCCATGTGACACTACGCGATCAGGAATGCAGTGAGGGTCATGTGCCGTTATTTTAAGAGGATATATGACACTGACAACGTTAGGGACCGATAGGGCGTTGTGTCGCATGGGAAACACGGTATGGGACATTCGTGAAGAAACTCTGGCCAAAAGTTTTTAAAATTACATAGCTTATTCTGTCTGGCTTGGTATTTCACATAAGTCAAATTTTCTATCACAAAAAATTGGGAGTTTGTACTTAAATATTTCAAGATTCCATTTACAACATCTTAAATTTATCAGTTACTGTTAGGTAATGAATGAAGACGTATAATCGTTCTTAGCGTTCACTCTGATACAGCATTCCTTTATCGTATTTTATCATATCTGATATACTAACCATATCATTTTATTATTTAGATCAAAATAAAACCATTTTTTGTGGCGTATTTATGTCTGGTTTTAACATTTTTTTGCAAAGTTTTCCCGGTATTATAGTTTATAATCTTTAAGTGATTATTACTTCGTAAAACAGTACGACGTGTTACACGCTTGTTTCTGTCCTTGAATTGCACGACTAATCTCTAGTGATGTACATAGTATCGGAACTGTCCCCAATCAATTAGGTAAATTCTCCCACAATTCGTAAATCATAACACCACTTTATATCTTGTATCAAACTACGTAAATCACGAATCAACCCACTGCTTATATAGCTGCGCAGCTAAAGTCATTTTAAAATCCTTTCCTGAGCACTATCCCAAACCACGTGAACCACAGGGTCACGTGACATCTCACGTGACGTCATCACATCTTCAAATTGTCCTTGACAGTTCACCAGTTAGCAGTGACTGATATAGTGTTGCGCCCACGTGCGCAACTTAGGCGCGCGATGACCTCCCGGTCAGTTCAACGTTACATGATACAGTGCGGTTTCGCTTGCTTTCCGTTGATGATTCTGTTTTGGGTTTGAATACCTCGCTTCTGTCAGAATGGCTGGTGGTGCGAGTGCGAGGTGGTAGACCATATGCCTCCGGGAACTGAATAAAAGATGTTATTTTTAATTTTAATAAATTCTTAAATTAAAAGAGCAATTTTCCTAATACATAATACATTGTCAATAGTAGGGAAAGTCGTGGTTTACACATTACCATTTCGCGTCGGAAGTCATCCAGTGTCTTGTATTTTTCTAACAATTTGGTTATTCTCTGCGTTACTTTCAGTCTATTGCTGTCTCCCTGAAATTTGAAACCTCAGATAATCATCTTTGTTCTGTATTGAATTTAAGTTTTAAACTATTAAATGTTCCAGAACATGCCTCAAACAAATAAATGTCCCAGAACATGCCTCAAACAAATAAATGTCCCAGAACATGCCTCAACATCTCAAATTTCATATTCTGGCAGGTTACCCATAGCGATTATATAATACATATAATTTCATCAATGAAAGATACAAAAGAAAAGACGGTTATATCTTCTTAATAAATACGAAGCTTTACCTTGTAGTATTTAAGAAAAGCCCAGAATTTCTCAAGTCCGTAAACATTATCATTGTCGAAGTCATTCAAAGTCTCCTCCATGAAGTCTCGGAAAATGTCTGACCTAAACCTTTTCTCAAGTCCGTAACTGTAGAATCGGAACAAACACTCCAGACCGTACCTGAAAGTAACGCTAAGGGTTGAAAACTAGCAGAGGCATGCACCAACGCAGGAACTTTTTTGAACCATTTTAGGATGGACCTCGGTATTTAAAGTTTTAGGTTTCCTATAAAGATTCGCTGTTATATCATCAGCGGACATGTTTAAATTTTACTTTCACTAACAAACATCTGAAATCAGATGTAGCACGCATTGGCTTATGGAGCATTTAATATGTGTATACTGCATTGTGAGATCGGTGCTTAGTGCGAGCGCGAACATTCTAGACATTTCCTTAAGTCGAGACTACACGTTTCCTCAGCTATACAATTTCACAACAAGTGAGCTAGCTACATAGCTAGCTAACAGTAGAATTTCAATACATTCTACATAGCGGGTTGATGTAGATCTCCTATTGAGAAAAATCAGTTTGATTAATAAAACTAAACATTTGAAAAGTTCCGCATACCTGGCCCCAGCAAGGGAGTCTTCAACGGCAAGTTTTCTGAATTCCTCGTACATTTTTCTGTTGAAGTTAGCTCGGAGGAAGAAGGACCAGAATCGGAACAAGGTGTTCATTTCCTGACTCTGTCCCTTACCCATCTTTATTCGATCTGAAATAAAAAAGCACATTTTACAACAGATATCCTGGGACGTTTGCAAATCGTGAGTTGACATGCTCAAAAAAGGACTAAACATACATTTCATAATGAAGGGGCAAAACAAGTAGCACCAACTTAATTAGTTCCAGTTAGATCTAAAGGAACAAATAAAAGAGGTCTGGTGACTCGAGATGAACTCACCTTTAAGACACTTCTGATGGTATTTGTGATAGACGGTCTGAGTAAATCCGTTTTCCTTGAGAAGATCGTGCGAGGGGTGGTTATATTTGGGGAGAGAGTTGGGTTCCACGGGCGTGGTACTTGTACTGGCACCTGCAGCTTCTTCGCTCCTGGTAAGTATACGTAGGTGAGATTTTCAGATGTGTTATTTTTGGTGTTATTTTGGATGATCGCCATTTTGGTTATTCACTTTCAGGGATTTCCAGGAGAAATGGTTATTATTAGGAATCCCGCTCACCTATCAGTGTTATAATTGAAGTTGACTAACTCCGAAGCATAAAACGAACTAATCATATCGCAGAAACAACACAAAATAAAAAACGTCTATTCAACTAAACAGCATTCTGTCAGTTTTAGTAAAAAGTCATTTTTTGGAAGAATTCATCACGATTAAAAATCTAAAAGAAATGACTCTAATATATTATCCCACTATGAGATCAGTGATGTATAATTCTGGAAAACGATAGTATCTTACGTTGAGTTGTATCTAGGTTTGTTTCCCATGACCCAACCAACAGGACTCTCCATAGGAGGGTTGGAACTGTACTTCGTCTTCCTCTTGCGTGGCAGCTCTCCAGTCTGAGGAATATATAGTTGTTTATTTATTGAACAATTCAGTCATTGGTGGTTGAATCACGAGTGGTGAAACAAATTGTAACCGCAGAATCAGTGGCTGTTCAACATTTTTACTCTGTTTAAACATTCGGCAGTATCCAAGAAGTCCAACTTTCAAATAAACCTTTATTCTCAAACACTCAAGTAACTAACCTTAGGCTCGACTTCATCCTTTGACTTCTTGTCAGGGAGCGGATAGAATCTAGGGTTGACATTCACGTCTTTCCTAGCGTTCTCAGTCTGAGTACCAGAGTCTGATTTTGTTCTCTGTCTGCCTGCCCTGAGAGACGAAAGGAGCTTATCATTCGTATGTTAAGACTAAACAGTAAATTTTAATAAGCAGTATGTGAGTAATTAGTGAGTACTCACTGAGTATGTGTATTGAGGAGGAGTAAAACAGTTACTCTGAAGGCCAAGAATCATATAATATGAAGACTATTGTAAACTGTAGAGTGCTAATGATCATCATCATCATCCTAAATAAGGAGAAAAGTCATTGTAATAAACATGAGACTATGCTGTAATCACACTGAACTATGAAAATTGACCAACCTCTGCTTATTTTCCTCAGCAGAAGGCATAAAGAAAGGTTTAGCGTCAGGGTTGAGGTGTGAAAACGAACTATTCATATCGCAGAAACAACACAAAATAAATATTTATTTGTATGTTTATGGACACATTTTTTGTGTGACACTATAATGACGTTTGCGTGCCATAACACTTTCGACAGTGTAAGTGAAATGACTAGTAACTGGAAAATGTTGCACAGACATGCCTTCAATCAAACAGCAACAACTTATAACTTTTTTCAATTATACTGTCAAGATTATACTGTCTATTCAACAGCATTCTGTATGAAATCAAATTAAGACTGTGTCAGTATGTGTATTGAGGAGGAGTTAAACAGTTACTCTGAAGGCCAAGAATCATATAATATGAAGACTATTGTAAACTGTAAAGTGCTAATGATCATCATCATCATCCTAAATAAGGAGAAAAGTCATTGTAATATTAAACATGAGACTATGCTGTAATCACACTGAACTATGAAATTGACCAACCTTTGCTTATTTTCCTCAGCAGAAGGAATAAAGAAAGGTTTAGCGTCAGGGTTGAGGTGCGACTCCACCAGAATAGGTTTGGGTGGAGGGGGAGGATCACTCTGTTCCACCGGCTCCTCTATCTGAGACTCTGACTCTCGCTGTTCTCGTCGAATCTTCTGGAACTCCTCTCGACTGATCATGTCGACAGATTTGAAGCTGGAGGGTTGACCTGGACCGTCGTCGATCAGTTCCTGGGTGAAAGTCTGATGACTGTTAGTTACAAGATAGAAGCACTTTAGTAAGTGCTTCACAAACAGGTTACGTTATAATGATTATCACTTTGATTCTTGGCCATGTTCTTTCTTGAGACACTCCAGATAGTTGGATTGAAACAGGAAGCATGCTGTTAAATCCGTGGTGCCATCCCTCTGCTATGTTGCTACACAAATGCACTGCACTGACAAGGGCTCATGTGGTGCATAATAACAAGGATTACATGGTGATACAGTTATACAGTGCACTACCTACTCGACACTATTAGGGTTGGCGATACACAGTGTATGACGATATACAGTGTGATTACCGTTTTCATGGCAGTGAACGGGAAGGAGAAATAAACCAAATCTGTGATAACGGTTCAGCTTAAAGCAGTTGACTCTTGCTTTATCGTCAACTTAAATAATCTACTAAATGAAGTGCTGCATAGAAAACAATGAATACCTCCTCGAAACGATATAATCCCTCGTTGATGATTTCAAACAGATCCTTGTTCAGGAGTCTGTCTGCTCTGGAGGTATGGTCACCGGGGTGACGGTCTCCCTGGGAAGAAGAAAAGTTAGATCCGGTAATCCTTAAAAAGAAATTTTAAAAACATGATGGATGAAACTGAGATGGGCGAGATTAGGACTTACCTAAAAACCCCGCTAACTTTTGCTTGCTAAGGGGGGGGGGGGGGGGGGGGGGGGGGGATAATGTTATTTTTTCGTCCGTTTTTGTCCGTTTTTTTTTGTCCGTTAATTTTTGTCCGTTTGAAAATATAGTGCCAAACGGACAAAAAACGGACAAAAAATTGTAACTTTTGATTTAAATTTTCTCCACCAATTTGTAACAGGTATCTGCAGAACTGGGTAGCCGTGTTAATGACCAATGGTCCTTTCTCAAACTTTTAATCTTCAATTAGGCAAAAGAATAGGTCTACACATTTTTTAATAACATAAAAAGGGATGAAAAGATTTATTACTGCGAGAGTTAAACTTTGTTAACACAAAGATTCTTGAGCACATTTTGAAGTCAGACTCAAAATGGCGCTTAAATTAAAAAACTTTTTAAGTCTATAACAATTAAAAATTATGTTAACAATACACCACACACTAATTATTAAATGAACAAATTATTGTGAGTGAAAGAGCGGGAAAAGGAGGCGGGGGGGACTGGAGGGCGACTGAGGAGGGATGAGGACGAGGGGTGAGAGGATTGAGGGACTGAGAAGGAGAACTGAGGATGAGGAATGAATAGGAGGAGGAGAAGAAGGACTCAAGAGGAGGAGGGACCCAAGAGGAGGAGGACCCAGGAAAGGCCCATGGGAGGATGGGGAGGGGAGGGACCGATGAGGACTGCTGATGAGGACAGATAAAGAGGAAAGGCCGCAGGAGGAGGAGGAGGAGGAGAAGGACTGAGGAGTGGGAGGAGGGACTGATGAGGGAAGGAGGTATTATGAGGAGGATGAGGAGCAGAAAGGAGATGAAGGTGAGGATAAGGAGGACTGAGGAGGAGGACAGGTGACGAGGATGATGAGGAGGAGGACTGAGAAGGGGAGGACTTAGGAGGAGCTGAGGAGGGAGGACTTAGGAGGAAGAGGAGGAGGTGGAGCAGGAGGAGGATGAGGGTAGAAGGAGGAGAAGACTGGAGGAGGATCAAGGAGGACCCGGAAGAGGAGGGAAGAGGGCGGATTAGGAGGAGAAGGAGGACCCAAGAGGAGGAACCAGGAGAAGAGGTCAGTAGGAGGACTGAGAAGGAGGGAGTGAGACTGAGAAGGAGAATGAGGAGGAGAATAATAGGAGGAGGAGGAGAGAAGGACTCAAGAGGAGGACTGAGGAGGAGGAGGATAAGGAGAAGGATAGGTAGGAAGACCCAAGAGGAGGAGGACCCAGAGGGGGAGGACCCAGGGAGGAGGACCCGGAAAGGCCCCAAAGGAGGACTGGGGAGGAGGAGGACTGATGCGGACGATAAAGAGGACCTTAAGGACGAGGAGGAGGAGGAGGAGGAGGAGGAGAAGGAGAGAGCAGTGAGGAGGAGGGACCATGAGGAGGAGGTGTATGAGGAGGATGAGGTGGAGAAGGAGATGAAGGGAAGGAGATGAGGATGAGGATAAGGAGGACTGAGGAAGGAGGAATGGTGTAGGAGGATGATGAGGCGCTGAGGAGGAGGACTCTGAGAATGGGAGGACTTAGGAGGACTGAGGAGGGACGGCTTAGGAGGAAGGAGTGAGGATTGAGGAGGAGGAAGGACTGAGGAGTGAGGAGAAAGAAGACTGAGGAGGATCAGGAGGACCAGGAGGAGGAGGAAGAGGAGGAGGTCTGGGAGGAGAAGGAAGGACCCAGGAGGAGGAACCAGGAGAAAGGAGGAGGAGGACTAGAAGGAGGACTGAGAAGGAGAAGGAGGACTGATGAGGAGGAGGAGGAAGAGGAGGGGGTGTCTGGGGGGAAAGGATTGAGGAGGAGAAGATGAGGAGGAGGAAGAGGAGAAGGACTGAGGGGAGAAGGGGACTGAGGAGAAGGAAGAGAGAGGAGGACTGAGGGAGGAGGACCCGGAGGAGGAGGACACAGGAAACGGGCCCCAGGAGGGGAGGATGACTTGGGAGGAGTAGGAGGACTGATGAGGACTGATGAGGAGGGGAGAAGTAAGTGGATGAAGAGGATGAGGAGGATGAGGAGGAGGACACTGGTGAGCAGAAGGAGGAGGACCCCGGAGGAGAAGGATCGGGGATAACTGAGGAGGAGGAGAAGGACTGAGGAGGAGAAGAGGGATCCAGGAGGAGAACCAGGAGGAGGAGGAGGTGGACTGAGGAGGAGGACTAAGGAGTAAAGGAGGAATGATGAGGAGGATGAGGAGGAGGGTGATGGGGAAGGACTGTGAAGGACTGAGGAGGAGGAATGCGGACTGAGGGAGGAGGAACCAGGAAAAGGAGGAGGAGGACTGAAAGAGGAGTAGCTGAGAAGGCGAAGGAGGACTGATGAGGAGGAATGAGGATATGAGGAGGAGGGAGACAGGGTGAGGACAGAGAAAATGAGGAAGACTGAGAGGAGGCGGAAGAGGAGAAGGGACTGAGGAGGAGATGGCACTGAGGAGGATGACCGAGGATGCGTACTGAGGAGGAGGAGGAGGAGGACTGAGAAGGGAGGAGGGACTGAAGAGGGGAGGAGGACTGAGGAGAGGAGGAGGAGGAGGAGGAGGAGGAGGAGTGACTAGGAGGAGGAGGGGGAGGGACACGCGCGCGCTAGGACTGAGGAGGAGGGACTGACGGAACAAGGGCAATGCGGGGAGGACTGAGAAAGGAGGACTGAGCTGAGGAGGAGAACAGAGGACTGGGGTGTGTGAAAGAGGAGGGCGGATGTGAATCGGAGGAGGACCCAAGGGCGAGGCGGACCCAGGAGGCTCGCGCTCCTCAGGAGGGAGGAGGAGGATGACTGAGAGGATGAGGAGGAGGAGGGGAAGCATCTAAATATTAATTCCATTTTAAGTTATTTTTTTTGTCAGGTTTTTGTCCGCTCTATTATTTTGTCGTTTTGATAATATAGGGTTCCGAACGGAAAAATCTCTCAAAAAAACGCGATAAAAAAACAGGATCCTCCCTGGAGGAGGAGGAGGTGAAGGATATCGCGACTGAGGAGGAGGATCTGAGGCGAATGAGAAGGAGGAGGACTGAGGAGTACTGACGAGGATCGCTGGAAGAGGATGGCTGAGGAGGTGGCTGAGGAGGATGACTGAGTGAGGATGACTGAGAGGGAGGAGGGGAGGACTGATAAGGAGGAGGGAGAAAGGGACCAGGAGGAGGACTCAGTGAGAAAGAGGAGGAGGGAGGATCAGAAGGCGGAATGAGAGGACTCAGATGGAGGAACTGAGAAGGTGGAGAACTGAAGAGAGGTCGGAGGAGGACTGAATAGGAGGAGGGGGGGGATGGGGGAGGATGAGGAGGAGGAGTACTGACGAACGAAATGAATGAGGAGGAGGACTGAGGCGAAGGACTGAGACTGAGGGGAAGAGGGAGAGGAGGGAAGAGGAGGAGGAGGACCCAGGAGGAGTAGGACTGAGGAAGATGATGAGGGACTCTGCAGAGGAGAGGGACTGAGGAGGCTGAGGGGACTGAGGGAGGATGGCTGAGGGGGATGGTGAGGAGGAGGAGGAGGAGGAGGAGGGGAGGAGAGGAGTGAATAGGTGGAGGAGGAGGAGGAGGAGGAGGAGGAGGAGGGAGGAGGAGGAGGAGGAAGCATCTAAATGTTATTTCAATTTTGTTATTTTTTGTCCGTTTTTGTCCGTTTTTGTCCGTTTTTGTCCGCTTTATTTTTTGTCGTTTTGAAAATATAGCTGCCAAACGGACAAAAACGGACAAAAAAACCCCCCCCCTGATACCCCCCCCCCCCCCCCCCCCCCCCCCCCCCCCCCCCCCCCCCCCTTGCTAAGCATAACTATAATGCTGAAAATAAACCTGGGGATGTTTCTTGAAGGTCGGTGGAGTAGGATGGACAACCACAATCTTAGCAATCTCCGCATCAGTCAGATAATCTTTCTCGTATTCGTCCGACTCCCAGGCTTTGTCAGCATGCTGAAGATGTTGGAACTGAACACATCATCTGTTTCGTCAAAGTGGAAGTCAAGCTCCTCAGGTTCTGCGCTCTTTTCTTCTACCGGACGAGCGTGAGGAGTCAGTTCTAACACGTGACCTCCTCTTCACCTCCTGCCACTGCTCACTCTGCTCCAAAGTTGGTTCAGACTGATCCTTGGCTCCTCCCTCTTCTTTCTTCTTATCAGGGATCTCTCGCCTTGGGGGTGCCTCCAAACCAGTCGGGGGCAAGCCAGGTACCATTGCATCAATAGCATCCAATTTCTGAAATTACATTTTAGTAATCATGGAGGAAATGGAATACGATGCAATAATTGAGAGAAAATGTGCAACTCAAATTTAACCAATTGACTCAACTTTTAGACGTTTAGGACAAAAGTAAAATCCGTTGAATTTAAAGCGGGAGTTATTTCTAGTAAGCATTTTAGTTTATCTTACTAAGATTAATAAAAGTAAAATAAAAAGTAAAAGTAACTCACTGTCCTGAGAGTCGCCTCCTTCTTGCCTGAACTTTGCCTCGCTAGCCAGGTATTGGTCCCAGTCGTCTCTCTTCTGACAAACCCGTCCCGATACTCCGTGGTGGGGCTCTCAGCAATAGCCTGGGAAGTGAGATCATTGATATGAGATCATGCTATCTGTTGGGATATCCGTGCTACAATGTATTAACCTGATTAAGACTTGCTCGGAAGATTCAGGTCGAAGGCGGGAAGTTAATATTCGATAAGTGACGTATTTTTATTCTAGCGCTGGTTAAGTGAAGATTTTACCTCTGCTATAAGACCTAGGTCGGTAGTCATGTTTCTTATCCTGTAGAAGGAGGCTATGAGAGTAAGTGGTACCCAACCTTCTGGGTCCATCTGAGAACGCAGGAAGAAGTCCCCTTGTAAGTTAGAGGGGGAGAGTAAGTAGTACGCCCTGAAATTAAATGTAAATTAAATATACAATTAACAGTCCCAGACTTTGATCATTGTTCAATGACCGAAAAAATTGATGAAGTTTTTGTGATATGTCATTACATCATTATTGTTATAAGGTTCGCATTTCGCAACTTTAAAATCTTTTCAAATATTAACCATGGAGTTCTGTAGTAACTTACACTTGTTTTTTGACCATGTCTTTCACTGAGTCAGGCTCCACGGGGGACGAATGAAACAGTGGTTGTGAGTAAAAGTATGGACCACCGAAATGAAGACCAGCAAACGCGGGCATGTAAGGAGGCATGGCAGTTGTCCCGTCAAACCCGGCTGGATTGAAGGGCATTGCTGGCATGTTGACAGGGTTAGGAACGGTCGTGTTGTTGTTGTTCTGGGATCCAGATGGATCAACTGATGAGAATTTGGAGGTTAAGTCACCTACAGGGTACAGTATATAATAATACAGTATGTCATTGTAGAGATTTCTCGGTTATGCGATAATGTTCGCATAGATATTAAATATATTGAGAGCTTTTTGCGCTGTTTAAAACATTTATAGCAACTCATAATATTAAGTCACTTTAAATGAACAAAGCTGTCTATAATCTTCGTCATTTATTGGGGGGGGGGGGGGGGGGGGCAACCATATTAAAGTAATATTAAAAATGTAGATTTTTCCGGATTTTGACCCGGGGATATACTTTAATTTTCTTTAATATACCTACAATATTACTTTTAATATCCCTATCTCTTGGAGGACTACTTCAAAAATTGTTGGCCCAAATAAGCTTGAAATGCAATTTCTTGTCTATTCCAAAAAGATCTAGAAAAAAAATATGAAAAACTGATGGAGTTATTTCAATTTTAATGAAGTCATTTTGGCTAGAATTCGAGCCGAGATATTATGAGCAATTTTCCCCAATTTTGTTTCGTGATGTCTTTTTACTTAGTATATTCAACAAACACTGAGGTTTATCTTCACATAGAGATAGTCTCATTAAAATTGACTGAAATTTTATCGAAATTTGGTCAAAAGCGAATTTTGGGCAAAGCGTATGACAATCCCCGTCGCCCCCTAACTATGGGCATACTTTTTAAGCTCCATAGTCAGCTATTTGACCAATCTGATGGAAATTCAATGTCCTAGTCCTTTAAAACGGCTTATCTTGCGAATCTGAGTGAAATAATATAGTTTCATCATGTAAATCTTAACGAAGAATTTAAATCTTTAATTGTAGGTATATTAAATTATCAATAAAATGTAGGATTTTTTCGATTTGACCCGGGGATATACTTTATTGGTTGCCCCCCCCACCCCCCCCCCCCCCCCCCCCACCCCCCCCCCCCCCCCCCCCCCCCCCCCCCCCCCCCCCCCCCCCCACCCCCCCCCCCCCCCCCCCCCACCCCCCTTACGTCACCCCCCCCCCCCCCCCCCCCCCCCTCCCCCCCCCCCCCCCCCCCCCCCCCCCCCCCCCCCCCCCCCCCCCCCCCCCCCCCCTCCCCCCACCACCCCACCCCACCCCCCCCCCCCCCCCCCCCCCCCCACCCCCCCCCCCCCCCCCCCCCCCCCCCCCCCCCCCCCCCCCCCCCCCCCCCCCCCCCCCCCCCCCCCCCCCTTTTATTCAACAAAAGCAGCCCATATAATGTTTGCGTCGGAGCGGATCCTTTGACGCCACCTTACCAAATATTAATGTATTTCAGATACTGTCAGTACTCTCCAATCTCGAATGACCGGGTTGCACGAATATCCATTTTTAAGCACCAATACCCCGTACGCGTCCAATCTCCACTAAAATACGTTAACTCGATACCCCCACCCCCCCCCTCCCCACGTACTCGTTATTCGAGATGAAGTAGAAGTGCCATAAGATCTAATAATGTGCAGAAACACTGAGCACATGATGAGTCGTGTACATAAACTGGTTTATAATCTGGCACCTGTTCAACTGAGCAGTGAGAGTGTAAATTTGCCGAGCTGGTGATGCTTGTTAAGTTTGAATATAACGGACAAGTTCCATGATTACACAGGCAGTACATACGCTGAATAATCCGGTTTAATATGTATTAGGTAATGAATAGGTTTAGAAAGAAGGCAGGGGATTTGAATCGTGTATATATTATTCACTAAGGCATTTCATAAGCTGACGTAGGGTCACCTGGGCAGATAAATGTGATATGAAATAAGTACGAGAGCTCAAAACTTTTATTTCGTTTAATTTTTGAACACAACATGGCAAGTTATGCACTAGTAAACGTCCAATGAACATAATCTCGTTCCGCTAATCTATCTACTATTTGATCGACAACTATGCCGAAAATGTGAAGTTGAGTAGCGGAACGTTTGTTTCTAACAGAAGATCAGCACATCAAACTCACAGTGCACTTTGTGTTTGGACCGCATTTTCCCTATCATGTCTAAACAGATGGAAATTTAAGATAAACACAACTCACGGTGGAAATATTAGAACAATAAAATTGAAAATGAAGTGTCAAATAGTCAAAACAAGGAGTGTTTATAATCAAAACAAGGGGACACCAAAACATGAAATAACTAACAAGTCAGATAATTCCCAAACTTACCGCTACTCCGGGCCCTGGATCGGTTACTGTTGTGTCCACCTCCCCTGCGACCACGTCGAGACGTTCGCTCCTCGGCTTCCAGATTAAAACGGGATGTGTTGGTTCGGTCGACAGGACGACCCATTCTCTGAGGAATACACTACATTCGAAAAACAGAAGAAGACAAGAAGATTCCTAACTAGAAGTTCTAGGAATTTAGAAATTCAATACAGGTAACAGGACTTGGAAAGAACTGATAACTTATCAGAAGGTCCAGTGCCGTATATTAATAACCACGTATCATTTTATAAATTGTGGGCAAGGCCATAGTGTAGCCTCCATTTGAATCAAATAAAACAATTCAACTGTATTAGCCGTATTGCACAATCCGAGCCCCATCAACGAACCATAACATCTTTAAAAGATCACGTGATTATTCTGTCCCAATCAGCTGACGAGACATTGCACAACTCAGGCCAGGTGTTCAGGAGAAACGCGCGCGCAGTAATCGCGCGCACGGACTCATAACACGTGTTTCTAAAAAGTCATCTACCTGGTAATGCGACGCTAGTTTCTCGTCTGTTGTCGTGGTTTTTATCTCAACTTGCAGCGGAACCCATTTCTCTGAAAGTACAAACGTTACTTCCTCCAAATAGTTTATCTTCCCCAAACAAACACGAGGTTTATAAGCTAAATTATGTTTATGAAATAAACGTAAAGTGTTGACCGTCTCTCGGTTTATACCAATGCGCGCACCCTGCAGTGCGCTTCAGTAGACCTTACACCATTACTGTGACCGTGCCAATACTACTACACATAATATCCGCATGTTGTCCTAAATGTTTCATTAATCCGAAGTACAAAATACTCATGTACTTCTTCGAGCATCCCACAAGTGAAAGGTGTAAACCAACATTTAAAATAATTGTTATGAAATCGGGTGGTTAGTTGGTGAGTCATGGTTAGCTATTTCGACAAGATCTGACGACAGATTGTTGAAATTGGCATGTTTCCAAGACTATGTACAAGCGGTGTGGACTGTAACAATACGCTGTGTGCTTCTGATACGACAATTGTTAACATTATTGCTACTCAATAAGCAAATTTGTGGAAATAAAAGTAACACACAAAAGTAACACGAAATGTACATTTTCATGAAAATTTATGATGATTTTTTGAATAGACTCGGTGATAAGGATTTTATGAAGAAAGGAAGTAGATCCATCAAGAATCTATTCAGTAATTCTATTGAACGCATTGTCAAATGAGATTCAATAACAGCTAAGAGATAAAATGAATTACCTGAAAATGTGTAAAATAATTCTGTAAAGTAACTGAATTGGCCTGAAAGTTCTAGAATTTACTGCAAACTTCTAAAACTACATCATCAATGAACTTCCATCCAGATTGGAAACATAAGCGAGATTGCAAGTAGCCTAATATAACATATAACAGCGAGGCACTGTCCCGGCACTGTGTATAACTTGATATACAACTTCCAAGTACATTGCAGGACGACCATTAGTGAAATAACCGCAATAAAATACATATTGGAGAAATATACTTAAATTTCGTGGAGTTGGTAAAGTTTCACAATTTGACATTTTCAATATAGGCAAACTTGTATAGAGTGCTCAGTATCACATCAGAAATTATTTTAACAAGATTCGAATACGTGTAATAGATTTTTAAGGTGAAAAGGACGTTAAACTTAGTAGTAAAGTTGAACGTAGCAACACTCAACAGTTGTCAAAACAATTGACGTGTTGTTTAATTCGTGCTTTTCACCAATATGTTAGAAATCTTGCGCCCAATACAAGCAGATATACGCAATCAAGTGCAAGTACCGCTCCAATGAAGTATCAGAAATTATTTCAAGATTTCCGAGGTGATAATAATATCGAATACCACGTACTCTTTACAATATCGGTAATTTTAATCTCCCACCAAGTACTGTTTTATTTCCTTCATTGAATTTTCTTGTTTGTTGCTGGCACGTACTCCTGAGCTCCATTTTTAACATTCTTCCAAAGCTCGCCTTAATTGAGTAATTGAGACTGTAGATTTCATTTTAAGTGACCTTTCGCTGTTACCAAACTTAGCTCTAAAATGGAAATGAAATTCGGCGACTAGTTGATGCACCCTTTTAGAAGCAAGAGCCATTTTAGGTTGCCATTTTGGTCTACTTGCTGTGAGGTGTCTCAGCTACATAGGTGCCCCCCTCCTGGGCTCCTTCATAATTTTTGCACATCTGTTAATTATGCAAAGTCAACTCTTCTTAGTAGCAGTTAATAGAAATGAAGTGTTTACAAAAGCTTATAATTCAAGTATTAGATTAAAAGTCATTCGCCACATCAGATAGAGGGCTCAATTGTATAGCTGTTGTATAACTACTCACAATGATATAATTTAAAGACCATCAAGAACTATAATTAGTGTCACATACAGGCTACAGTACGATTACATTTGAGTAGTGTAGCTATTAGTAGTGTTAAACTATCCAGACCATATAACAAGGCGAACTACTAATTCTATTTATAATACTAGATAGTACACATTTAGTAATGTAAAGTTACAGTGTGTCCAAGTTAGTCAATACTAAATAAATTACATGTTGTGAACAATGATCAATTACGTAATTGAATTGTTATGAATATGTATCAATTCTAATATTAGCATTAAAGGTGTTGAACTGTCCTTAACAACATGGGATAACAACAACGATCTTATTGGTAATAGATAGTTTGACTCTGAATGATGATGATGACGATGACGATGTTGCCAATAAATTTGTTGTCAGCTCATCATAAACCTGACATCCATAATTTAACCGAGCCAACAAGAGATCAACAAAACGAACTTTAAATAAAAAACATCTATATAATTGACCGGCAGGAGATCAGATCACACAAACACTTATTTATAACTCTGAAAACTTACTCTTCTTGCGAGGAGAATCATTAGCATTCAACACATCCTCGTCTCCCAGTTGTCTCTCTGGGATCCCAGTCAGCTCCAACTCCTCCTCCTCTTTGGGGGGAAGCGGGACCGGACCTGCAGCAGCTACCTGAAAATAAACAGTTCTTGAGCATTTGTTTAAGTGAAAATATCTGATGATTCCGTGTATCCGCATTTCGCGTGTATTGGGACAGAGGGAAAATGCTCTTATTAGGCAAGAAAATCGGTCAACGTTTCAATGTCACTACATCATATACATATTTTTTAAGGGTACGTTAATTTAGTACTCGTGGCTTATTGTGTGGTATATCGTAGTGGGAGGATAAGACTCACTACACCAAAACTGCTTATCCCGGACCAAATTATAACGTGAGTTACGGGGACAGTTTAGTTCTGGCATTTGGCCCAATGTTACAATAAAATGTATAATGTAGTTGCTGGCCCTACTAAATTGGGTACAAATGCGAATTTAAGGTTAGGAGTTTCAATGTGTAGTCGACTAATTGTAGTGTAATTGATTTCCTTGATTAAATTTGCAATTTGACAATTCCCCAATAAAAAACCTTTAAATTAACATTAAAAACTCGAACACTAGAATTGTATTGTCCTTTGCTTCGAGCTGATTAATTGGACACTATTCTAACTTCTTGGACCAAAGGCCGACATTAAATTTGTACATTATAATTTGATTAAGCCATGCTTCATTTCCATACGATACGTTTTAGGTTAGGTGAAGTTGTAACTTGATAGCTTAGCAGGCTATCAGCTATTGTGTCCACTAACTGAAGGACAAGAATATAAAAGACAAGAATATAATCTGTGTACGTGTATATTGTATAAATTATACACTTGAAGTTCAGGTTACCATGGTTACATGACAATGCGATAGTCGTTCAGTCTTCGTTAAAACAGTTAATCTAATGGAGGACATTTTGTTCATTATCTTTTGTTATCTTAGTCTGTCGTTTACACCACAACTTGTAAGCGTTCAATTGCCCAGTCAACCGTTATAATTGTTCTACACGTCCCTACACACCTCTATTATATGTCAGAATTACATATGGATTATGGAGACAACATATTATTGACACTCAAGTTACTGTGATAACAACACAGCTATTCTCTTTTAGAATTACATCAGGATATAACATTTTGACAGGGTGACACCGCAGTAATTACTATCATATTCAGAATTACATCTGGATATAACATGAAACTCAGCTACTATAATATTATGACAGATAATAGACCGTACGCTATGAATGATCCAGTGCAGTTTAGATTGTAATAATGCTGTGGTTAGAGTAAACGAACCGTATTACAATTTTAATACAACACAATTTATGTGATTTGTTTGACCAGCTTTCAGTTAATCAGTTTGTAGCAAGCTGTGTTATGAAATAGATAAGTTCAAACTTCAAAGGGTGTCTGCCGGACATGCCAGAAGAGCTTTTATTGTTAGAAGAATATTTAATAACTTATAAGTATCTACTTTACCATAACAACAAGTATTTAGTACTTTAATAGACCGATATAAATGGACACGACTTTATTTGCAGTTCTGAACAAATTTTCGATGGTGATAAATGTCGAAATTTGGAGGGGAATCGTTACCATTGTCAACGTCGACGATGACACCCTCTCCGCAAAATGTTTTGGTAAGAGGGAGAAAATGGCAGACATTAACACACCTAAAACTTCAATCAGATATGTTCTGAGTAAGATTGAATAAATTTCTCTAAAACTTTGACTACAGAATTAAAAATGCAAAATTTCACGTTGCAGACATATTCATCATTAGTATTACACCGATATACTCGAAAGATTTACGTCACAACAAAATATTAAATTTCCGGTTCATTAAATTTGCCGTCTAGCTTTCACTTGACACGTTGGAGTGTGAGGTGCGTCACGTGACACGTTGGATTTTTCAACCATTATTACTCCAGAGAAATCCTCCTAATTCCCATTTTCCATCTCTTAAAACACTTCCCGAATAACAACGTAAGTGCAAGTGGTTAAATTACCACGGAAGTGGTTAAATAACCACTTAAATGGTTAATGGTTATTTAACCACTTAAATGACCCACTTAACCAGGTACTTAGGACAAGCTGTTACTTTTTTCACAAAGGGGTAACTATTAGCCTACGTCAGACGTCCTGATTCCTACTAGGAGCCGCAACATTTTGCCATATCGGGGGTTAACGAACCATTTTGTAAAAAAGATTACTTAACTCTAGCTCTGATTGATGTTGAATGTTGATATGGACCACTTTGACAGTCTAATTTGGTTATCATGGATGTCAAGCGGAATTTTCCCTGGTTTGTAGATAGTTATAGTAGTTTTTAAATTTTTATCATTGAATTGAACTCGAGGAGATTTAAGTTACTCTTATCTTTATTACTCCGTACAATATATGACACCCGATTTTTATAAAAATCGGGTGTCATATATTGTACGGAGTAACTTAGATTAGAGTTACGGTACAAAACTTTCATTTCACTTTGGTTCCCATGGTAACAAGTAATATAGCTCGTTTTTCATCGCCTCGGCGGTGTTAGTAAGCGAATTCTCACAAGTCAAATTAGTATATAACCTTAAAAACACAACATCCGCACGTGAACAGTTACACACAATTCATTTTTTTAAAACTGGGTAGCATTATACGTGAAGATGAAATAGAGATACACAGAGCCTAAATCTTCCAGTACAGGGTATCATGGTCATTCCCTCTAATGGAGTTTGTTCAAAAGTAAAGATGTTCGATCACAGTTTTTCTGATCTTCGGGAGTTCCGACCGTTTCATTATCGTTGGCCAAAAATAACATTCAAAGGCGTGCTAGCATTTTTTGAAGCATTTTAAATAAAAGTAATTATAAATCTCTAGAGCCCATTTACATTTTTAAAAGTCATTGCCGCCTATAATTGAATCCGTGTGTTTAGGCTCTTTTGTTCGATGGAATTCATTGATTAGTACTCTATACTGAGCCGACTTGAGGGTCTCCCTCGTGAAAATTAACCTGTAAATTGGAGATCTCCACAAGAAATCGAAGAGAACAAAAGAGCACAAGTACAAGTGTAACTACGTGTGGTTAACGAACCTTAGGAGAAGGGTGTGCTTTAGCGGTGACTGTAGGGGTGGTAGGAGGCTTAATTTCCTGAATAAAGTATAGTTTATAATTATATTACATTTTCTATGCTTAAATAATATTTTATTTAGAATAAATAGTCATACAAATATAAAAATATGTCGATTTCGTTTGACCATTGAAAGAGTAAATATGACACATATATTATGACTTATATGGGCAGGGAATTCGTAGGCTTCAACGTAAAGACCAATAAAAAAGCTAATTCTGCATGGCTCTCGCTAACGAATCATTAATTTGTAAATTGTACTAAATGTTTTGGACAGCGTATTGTTTCGTTAACAACTTTGGACGAGTTTAAGTACTGTGTTTTGTAGTCATATCACTTTTCATATCAGAGAACAAAACACAGTTATATAATAAACAAAAAGTCACACATACGATGCGATGATACTCTTGAAACAGTGTGAGATGTGAATGTGTTTGCCAATCAAGAGAGGAAAGTGATAATAAAGAAATGGAGGAACAAACCAATTCTTGGTACAAATCAGGGCTCGGTTTATCGGGGTATGTCACAAAACGGGATTGTCATTGAAATTTTAAAAATTTACCTTTGGAAGAGCGGGCTGGTCCAAAGTTGGCCAGATCTCGTTGTCCAAACCATCAGTCTGAAATATAAACATGATAAGATTGTTTTAAATCTTAAAACGTGGTGTAGAATACCCATGTTGACTTTATAGGTTACAAGTTATCAAGCAATATTTATAACCATGATATCTATTACATGGTTTTTTTGTGCTTGTGTTATTATAGTTAAGTTGAAAAACTTAATACATTATCTGGATCTACACTATTAAAGTGCTACATCTAACAAACTTACGTCAGCTGGATTCACTTTCACAATCGTAGTGGGCGCTGAAAAACAAAGCAATTTTATTATCATGCGGATGGTATGTTACTAATGGGAAAAGAAAGCCTCATCAAATTGGACAACAATGTATGTACTTTGCTATGAGTGGCAGGCAGCCAAGCCTTTTGAATAACTTCAACAATATAGATGACAGCTGCACATACTACTGCAGGCTACAACTAATGGTAAAGCTAACATTTTTTACAATTTACTTACAAACTGAACTACCCCTTACAAAATTAGCTTCAAATTAACGCACGATATTAAGCATAATTTGATAACTTACTTCTCCATGGATTCCCGCCACCACCAGATGGGACGTAACCACCATTTTGTTTGGGAGGCTCGCTGATTGTCACTGTTTTCCCTCCCCCAGATTTACTGCCCTGTGAAGTCTTTCCTCCGGGACTGCTGTTTGCTTTTGCTAGTCCTCCTTTGATTGGACCAGTAGGTTTTGCGGGAGCTGCTTTTTGAGGGGCCGTCTCATTTGCTACTCCATTTGAAACGGGCTTCTGTTGTTTGTTGACATCTCCGTTCTGTACCGGGTCCTAGTGAAACAGGAGTATAAGTTCAAGATAAAATTGTTAAAGATATTGAAATTGCATTAAATTCCATCAAAAGTTTATGTCACGGTGAGTGCATTCTGTAGAAAAAAGGACTAATCTATATTCCTTCCATAATTTTTATTCAAGACTTATGTACAAGCTAAGCTCAATCATGCGGTTCCGACCAAAGTAGATGGATAAGCACATGATCGTATATATAATTAAGGGTACAAAGTTTAAGAAATCTCACCTGTGCGGCTGGTTTATCGTCTGCTGAAGGGGAAGGTGGGGGCACTAGTGGTTTAGCCCAGGCGTTTGGTTTCTCTTGTTTAGCTGAAAGGCACAATATTAATTCCAGTCAAATACTTCAACCCAAAACTAATGAATAGTTTTGGATATCACATCTTCATTGGATTCAAATTTGGGAAATTGCAATACAAATTTCGAAACCAAAGATGATAGATTCGAGATTGTACAGTTTCTATCTATCCTCAATCACATCCATAATCACAGGGTGATCATAAGTGAACATAAAGTGGGATTAAGATAGCAAACCTATGTAAGCGGATTTGCAGGAACCATCAGAGGTACCATGGTGTTCTACATCAGGAGCTTTCGCACTCAACATGTTCTTAGCACTACTCCTCCTCTCTTTCGTATCATTTACACTAAATTTATTGATTGTGATCAAGTTATTCATCACTAATAAACCTGTTCTTTAGGTCTGAAACCCTACCAAAAAACCAGAAAATGTATAGTTTGTTCATAAAAATCAAGGTAAAGGAGCTGGTTGTGGAGACACTACAGAACGAATCAAAGCTTGGTAGTATCCAATCTAGGTCTGATCCAGTCCACAGACCAGTCCGTGGACTACTATGATAAGCCTAGGCAGGGTCAACCTGACCCTTCCAAATGTAAAGATTGCATAGTATTAGATGTACAGAAACAGTCTACGGTCCCCGACCGGATATGTCAAACAATTACACAGGATGAGATAAGGTTTTGAGCTGAGCAATTACAGAGGACAGGGGTTTGCGAGGAGAGTGTGGACTGTAGAGGTAATATATCTTCCAGTCAGAAATTTCGAAATGCTAGTCATAACTCATTGCATCCAAGATATCATTCATATCAGAAGCAATTAAGAGGTGCGGTTATATTCTGCAAATAGTGCGATACTGCTCCAGCCTTTAATTATTTTATATGCAGCAATGTAGCTGAACAATTTGCGAAATTTGCAGCCTTTTGGAACTCTCAGGTTGGATTATTCAACAGAATAGTACAGGGTGGGCCAAAAGTCAGTGGACATACGTTGGCCTTAATAGCTCAGTTACTGAGTGCCCAATTGAAATAATTCTTTCTGGTATGACTTACTACCACTACTGGTTCGAGGAATTTGTCGAATCGAAAAATATTCGAGTTCATTTTTTTCGAATGAAGGTTCATTTTTGCATTTATTTGATAGTTTGGATAGTTGGATCGAGCTAAATTTAATTCAATTGTGTTTGGCCATTCGAATTACTTTTGTCCTGAAAAAATTAGAACTGCAGCTTCTCGGATGACCGAAATACGAAGCATAACGAGTTTATTCATTACGTGTCATTACCCCGTTAAACATTATGGGAATCGTTAAGGCTGCCCGATTAAGGTGTCGTGTCACGTTTTTATCACGTCCATTATCATGGACCGTCATATACAATTATGACGGTCCATGATAATGGATCTATAATTTAATTTTAATCCTGTGTAATCCTGTGTAATCCTGTGTAATCCTGTGTAATACTGTGTAATACGGTGTCACATAATCACCCAGTCAATTTTGTTAACGAGATACAGAAAATGCTTGATAACTTCGACATTTCTAATCCGTTTTGCCTCATGTTTTCAGATCATATGCAACATTTAATAATCAACCGTCTCTCAAAAATGAGGCGTTCAGCATGTTCAGAGAAAACAATATAGGTGTTTTAATATTGAATGGGCATGGTATAAAATATTCGAATTTTCAAATTTTGACGACGGAATCCTCGAACCAGTAAGTACAGTATGCCATCTGCAAAGCAACAGCTCTAAAATATAAAACACGGCGGAGCTATTAAGGCCAACGTATGTCCACTGACTTTTGGCTCACCCTGTATTATATGTAACACGATTGTTGGGTTTGATACAGTTCAACTTATATTAACCGTGCCTTTCTATAGGTTACCTTGCTATACCAGAATATACCAGGCTTCTTCATTTCCCCAAAATCTTATTTAATTAGCTAGTTTAGTACAAGAAATGCGATTTATTTTAGCTTGTATCACATTTGGTGGTGATTTGAGTACATGTTGAGCTTATTCCATGAAAATACGACTTGCCATTTGATAATATCAATCAAGAACTTTCAGGAAATGTTTTTAGAAGAAAAATTGTTATATGAGTCATGTGGGGCCAGGGTTTTCATGACAATTCTCTCGAAATAGACTTTCTAGTTGTTTCTGATAGAGGAGTGATATTTATCAGCTGCATTTGGTCCCATGGAAAAATATAGTTCCTAGCCGAAATTATTGCCAGTTAAAATAGAGTCTAAAAAATATCTTCTACATTTTTTTCTATCTAACTTTCAGAATATGTTCTTAGGATCATTTAGCAGGAGGTGACCGGGATTCCCGGTTCCGGGAATCCCGGTACCGGGATTGGCAATTTTGAGCTATCCCGGTCCGATCCCGGTCCCGGTCAAATGCTGATTTATTTATTTATGATCCCGGTCCCGGTTAATTCGGGATTCTTGGTCCCGGTCCCGGTCCCGGTCAATCACTCAAATTTGCCGGGATTTTGACCGGGATTTTTTACATAATTTCATTCACTGTGATTTTAAGTTTATCCTTTCATTCATTGTGAATTTCGTCTTTAAACATCCTCTGAGCCAAATACAACAATGTTTAAAATTGCTAAACAAGTTTGAGTAATAAATTATGATCATGAATTAACCAGTAATCGACCGGATTACCGGACCAGTAATCGGTACCGGGAATCCCAGTACCGGGATTGGCAATTTTGAGCTATCCCCGTCCCGGTCCCGGTCCCGGTCAAGTCACATTTTTCATCCCGGTCCCAGTCCTGGTAAATTGATATTCTCAGTCCCGGTCCCGGTCCCGGTCCCGGTCAAGTCACATTTTGTATCCCAGTCCCGGTCCCGGTCCCGGTCAGGCCTGAAATCATGTCCCGGTCACCTCCTGTCATTTAGAAGAGAACTTTACAGCCAGAAATTTGATATAGGCCTTCAAACATTTTTATTTCGATTTTGTAAATCTTGGGACCACTAAAAATCGTTAAAGAACGAGGTCAAAGAATTTCATAATCGAATTAAAAGTCTTAAAAAAGGAAAGATTTCAAAGTTCTGGCTCTAGAGTTTTCTTCCAAATGATCCAGGAACATATCCTGAAAGTTTGAGAGAGATTGAAATGTATGAGAAGATAAATGGGTCAGAGACTAGAATCCCGACGTCATCACCAGGACAACCATGTCAGCGGGCTATTGACCGCTTTTGAATAGCCGGCTAGTGGTCACCTAGTAGCCACTATAAATAAAGAAGGTAGTAGTCGGCTAGTGACCACCTAGTAGACAGTAAATGGTCACTAGCCGGTTATAAGCCAGCGTTTGCTGTTGAATAGTTGGCTAGTGACCACTTTCTAGTTGAGGCTTGATTGTGTCCTGGTTGTGACATGGTTGTGACGCCTGTCTGACGTGGTTATGTCCCCGTTATATCTTGGTTCTGACAGGGTTGTGTCCTGGTTATATCTTGGTTATGTCCTGGTTATTACGTCGAGTTTCTAATCCATGGCCGTAAGTATTAGTCTGATCACACCTTTATTTCATTTTCTGTGACGGACTTTTAACCAGGTTTACCTTTTCTAGCTATGACAAGTAACCGGTCGGAGCAGACAGTTGCGTAACATCGTTTGTAGAAGACTACTGTCTAATCGGTAAGTATTAATAATTGTTATATATAAAGTGATATATTTGGAATTGCTTAAATAGGGAATTAGAGTTATTTTATTGTGTAATAAAGTATTTTGTTTTGTACATACGAATAAGGAATTTCATTTGGTATCTAACAGTAAAACCTTTAATTTTATAAATGTGATCTCCTCGGATGTTTCGAAATGGCCACAACCCATCTCGATAATTTTATATCTCTCATTCCGTCAAATCTTACATTTCTAACAGTGAAACCGTAAAGTGTCCATTGAGAGCAATTCAATATCAATCCATCACGATAAGTTATGTAGAAGATTCAAATTGTCAAACATGGAAGACTTTTGAGGATTAAGCATATGATAAGAACGGTGGGAATAAGTATGAATGAGCACTTCACATCAATGAGAATACATAACAACATAGTTAATAAACAAATTCCGCATCGAAATGGTATTTAAATAGAATATAATAGAATATAAACGAATTCGGAAACGAAACAATTAAATTAAAGAGCTACTAACGTATTCGAGTGAACATATGACAGTATTTTCTTTAGCGCTCGATTTTCACACTTCGATGTAAATTGTCGAAAATATGCGCGGCACATCCAACATCTTATAGGATTTTGATTTCATTTTATAATGATTTTTTAGCGGGAATACATATATATTTATATATATATATACAGCAACGAAATATATATATATATATATATAACATTTAAATTAGTCTTAACTATTGATTATAAGATTAATTAAAAATTTTCCCACGATTATATATTTATTTGTATCACGTTGCGACCCCAACGGTCGTTTCACTATTTCACCGTTTCACTGTTTCACTGTTTCACTGTTTCACCCTTTATAGTCCTGACGATACAGGGGAGCCGCGCACTCGTGCACGGCGGGTCATACAACGTATGACAAATATTTATATAAAGCGCGAAAGCCTAAATTTGACCACTTTTTGAATTTGCTTTGGATTAAAAATCTTGAAATAATTATTTAATTTTAACTGTTAACATTATCTTGTGCGATTCCAAAAAACTCTACTGATTAGAGTTTAAAGGGTGATCATACTCGTAAAATATATGTTCCAAAGACCGTCAACGAGTCCAATTCGGCGCATAGCATGTCTTGATAAGTTATTAACTTGCTCTAACCAGAGCCCTCTCGCTTGCAGTAGCGCGCGACGGCCGAAACAAGCGCGTCACGCAGTACGCGTACACACATGGCTATGTCAAGTTATTAACATACTAGTTAGAGTCTATCTCCAAAAGTAAAATAAATATCAACCTCCGTTTTTCAGCAAAATTTTTATCTCGTAAAACTAAAGTCAGCTTCCGATCCCAGGAGCACAATTTGAGATTACCTATAAGCTTGATTAATAGTTCTCACATATGGGTGCGATTACAGATTAGATTTTGGTCGTTCTCATGTAGCTGTGCACATGCTCATACGTTTTTGTTTTGTTGTTTATGAGTAAGCTATGTGACTTTGAAAGTAAGCTGATTTCGAATAAAACTTATTACTGATTACATAGCATGAAAATCATTTTTTGACGAGTTTTACTGGGCCGCGCTCAGCCTGTCATTCCGCCGAATCTCTATATCATATATGTTTATAAACATAATAGCCTGAGGTCCCCAGGTAAGACGAGTTATGATCAAATAACCATTTTTATCAGACGTGCGCACGTAACAGGCTTGTTAAACGATAT